TTCATGATATTATTGAGAGAGTTTTGTATAAGAATCTGTTATTATAACACAGAATAACTTTTCTAGAGTCTTTTTAATATTGATCAGACTGATAGAATAGATTGACATATAATTCTGCTATCAGCAATTCTTTCAATAACTTCTTTTTCTGAGCATTTTATAGATGTTGACAGAGATCTGTGTCAGATTCATAGTCTTGTGAATATCATCTTTGTGAATTCTATCATTGTTAGAGAATATCAAGCTTCTGTTTTAAGTATTTAATAAGATGTCTTATTCAGATAGTCAGGCAAGTTCTAATATAAGATTGTAATCAAGATTATCAACTTCACATATGTAGGCATCTTTATGTTGATGTTCTCTCACATCTATAGTCAGTTTTATTATATAACAGGTACAAATGTCTTTTGAACTATTAAATTCTGTGAGAAGTTGAGGTTTTAATAGAAGAATATGCTGAAGATTATAATATCTTACAACTGAAGATTTTATCATTGCATAGTAACATAGATCACTGTCTATTATGACTTTCATATTATACATGTTATCAATCATAGTAGATATAAGAATTATATTCATTATCATCTTCTTCTTAAATTATTATCATCTGACCTCTTCAAGCTTCTGTTTATAAATTTGAACAGAAGCTAATCTTTTCTCTGTTTTATCAGAGTATTCTCATAGTTATCTTCTGAATATTTCTTCACTGCAATGTGATTGATGCAGACAGGCACTGATCTTTCTCTCAAGTGTGAAGATACATAGATTAATCAGCAGTTGAAAGCAATGTGTTCTAATCAGTTACAGTTGATACACACTTTACATTAACATTGATCAGCAACTTCTTCAGAAGTAATCTCAGAAACTCAGAAGTCTGTTCAAACAGCAGAAACTCTTGCTTATGTATAGACATTTAAATCTATTCAGTTCATGATATCTGTATCATTACTATTACTTCTCTTCAGTACAGATGTATAAGTGACTGAAGTGTAACATCTTCTATCACTGTTCTGTATACTCTTGAGCTTGATAAAATAATCATTCAATGTTCAGAGCTGTGTGTAGAAGCCTTTATAAGTTAAGTCTTTATTTATACTTATAAGAGTCTGTAAGAGTTTGAAAGTTAATATCTTCTTAAGCATGCTAATCTTTATTCAATTCTTTCAAGATTGATCACCTACTTCTAGAATCTTGATATTGAAATCAGAGATGAATGTTATAAGAGAAGTGTTTCTCTGTTAAATACTCTGTAATTAATCTAACACTTTCTGTTGCATAACAGTGTCTCAGAACAGAATATCAAGATATTTCATAATATTATCAGATATTTATAACACTGATTTATATTCTTTTATTCATGAATAAAACTTCTATTTCATGCAATTCTTCAATTATTTATTAATATATCAATCTTGATTAATTAATAAACTGATAAAATCTTCATCTATACTTAGTTTTGTAAGCATTTTCATTCTTTATAATGAGTAGAGAGTGAGATCAGAAGTATTAAAATATATAGAAGTATTTAAGCATTCTTTCAGTACTTTTATATTCAATTTTATAGATGTTGAAATCATATAAGTTAATTATTGAATCTCTTTATATTGAACTTATTGAGTTGCATGTATATCAGCTATTTATTATTATTATAATTTCAACATTGCTTGAAGTTACTGTGATATCATGTTTATACTTATATTCAAGAGTTTTATATTATTATTAGACATGATTATATTAATTATTAAATGTATAATATCTGTGAAATCTGAAGAAGTGTAATTGTATTCTCATATATCTGAGTGTCAGAACTCTCAGATCTTTCACTAATATTCTTTTATAAGATCTTATTCTCTTTGTAAGATCTTATTACAAAGTCAGAGTAATTGATAAGTAAGCTTTTATTTAAGAACTCAGTGTCTGCTTAACTGTGTTTTCTCTTTCTTATACATTATTATGCATTCAGATATCTCTTGATGAATAATTATTTCTGATAAGAAGATAATATGTGAATAATTATTTTCTAATAAGAAGATAATAAATGTTTTTATAGTATAAGAGGTCTACACTGAATAGATTGATATTATATTAATAGATCTTATTTAACAAAGATAAAAATGTTAGAGAAGAAAAGAAAGAGAAAGTGTGAGAATCAGTAATTAAGATGAATATTTATATATGTATGTGATGATGTACGCGGTGGAGCTTCAGGGTGAAAGAATATACACACGTTCATAGTGACTGAGAATCAGTGATTGAGAATGGCCGAGAATCGGAGCGTACGCGTTCGTGGCGGCCGAGGATCGGCGATCGAGAATGGCCGAGGATCGGAGTGTACATGAAATCTGTGAAGTGTAACGGAATTAGACTGACCGTGTGACTGTGTCTGAGACCAGGATCAGATTTTTTGATAGTCTCATTATCAATTCAACTGATTCCATTACACAGTTTTAACATTAGATAGTAGTCTCATACTGTCTCAGTGAGACTTACTGTCTACTCTTATCACATTTTTCAAATAAGATCATGATTTTCACTTCTCAATTTAAATTATTTTTATTGCTTTAAATGACTTTAAATCTTATTTAAATGTTATCAAAAAGTGTTACTTTTTAAAAAATTAAAAATAGTCTAAAAAAACCTTAAAATGTCTAAAAATAGTAACTTTATATCAAGAATGAGACTAAATGAGATTAAATGAGATCACTTTCTTATTTTTTTCAAGTCATGATTTCATTTTAAGATCTGATATATAGTCACTTTACATGTTTTTTTAATAGTCAGTCTCAGCAGAATTCACACTAAGAAATATATAAGATCAGATTAAATGAGATTAAATGTGAAATTTATAATCTCAGTGATCAGTCTAAATGAAATAGTCTATATAATTAATCAGGCGCAGCCTGCCACACTTATTTAAGTATTATTAAAAAGTGTTACTGTTTAAAAAATTAAAAATAGTCTAAAAAAAACCTTAAAATGTTTAAAAATAGTAACTTTATACTAAGAATGAGATTAAATAAGATTCAATGAAATTACTTTCTTATTTTTTCTAAGTCATAATTTCATTTTAAGATCTGATAAATACTTACTTTACATGTTTTTTTAATAATTAATCTCAGTGAGATTTATGTTAAGAAATATATAAGATTTAGACTGATTATATAACTATGTCTGAGATCAGAATCAGAATATTTAATAATCTTATTATTAATTTAACTAATCTTATTACATGATTTTAACATTAAATAGTAGTTTTATACTGTTTTAGTAAGACTTACTGTCTTTTCTTATTATATTTTTCAAATGAGATCATGATTTTCACTTCTTAATTTAAATTATTTTTATTGCTTTAAATGACTTTAAATCTCATTTAATTGTTATCAAAAAGTATTACTTTTTAAAAAATTAAAAATAGTCTAAAAAAACCTTAAAATGTCTAAAAATAGTAACTTTATATTAAGAATGAAATTAAATGAGATTAAATAAGATAACTTTCTTATTTTTTCTAAGTTATAATCTTATTTTAAGATCTGATATATAGTCACTTTACATGTTTTTTTAATGATTAGTCTCAGTGAGATTCATATTAAGAAATGTATGAGATTAGATTAAATAAGATTAAATATGAAATTTATAATTTTAACAGCCAGTCTAATAAGATCAGATTAAATGAGATTAAATATGAAATTTATAATTCTAGCAGTCAGTCTAAATTTCATATATTTCTTAATATGAATTTCACTGAGATTAATTATTAAAAAAAACATGTAAAGTGACTATTTATCAGATCTTAAAATAAAATTATAACTCAGAAAAAATAAGAAAGTAATCTTATTTAATCTTATTTAGTTCTATTCTTAATATAAAGTTACTATTTTTAGACATTTTAAGATTTCTTTTAGATTATTTTTAATTTTTTAAAAAGTAATGCTTCTTTAGTAATACTTAAATGAGATTTAAAGTCATTTAAAGCAATAAAATAAATTTAAATTAAGAAGTGAAAATTATAATCTCATTTGAAAAATGTGATAAGAGTAGATAGTAAGTTTTATTAAAATAGTATAAGACTACTATCTAATCTTAAAACTGTATAATGAGATTAATTAAATTAATAATGAAATCATCAAATATTCTGATTCTGATCTCAGATACAGTCATATAATCAGTTTATCTACTAGTTAATCTACTTTTAACTCTAGTATTGATATAGCTTCTGACTCTAGCTCTTGATTCTGACATGACTTTAATAAGCAGTCTTAGTTAATTATCAAAGAATTGATTGAATATTCATATAGAATAGACCTTGAGTATTTAATAGAATGAAGCTGATTTGATTATGTATAAAGAAGATTGAGATATGTTATATCTTTTGCAAAGAGCTTTTTCATGCCTCTTATTGAGAGCTTTCAATGCCTTACATTTTAAGAGCTTTGTTAATCTTTGAACATGAATTCTAGTCATTTACTAGCTATTCTGTCAAGTCCTTATCTTGTCCACTGTTGTAGGAGACTCATAGAACCAACCCCTTTTTAAAGCATGTAGTTGAAATGGCGCGGGAGCGGCCAAGGGCCCATAACCTGATGGAGGTGAAAGGTTGGTTGATTGTACACTAATCTACCACGCAGCATTCTATAGGTGTGTGGGTCACGTGGCCTCATATAGGGCATCCGGCCAACAACTACTGAGTCAAAACAGAGATGCAATCTCTGCTCGTTTCATATACAGGAGTTGGAGTGGGGATGTTGCACTAAATCCAATCAGGAGAGTGCTAAACCATGTAAGGTAATTCCCCACGATGCGGTATGAGATGATGCCCCGATAACTTTCGAGCTCATTACAGCGTATGCTGTAATTCACATGAAACCTTAATTGTTCGGGTCAAACTTCCTCAGGTCAATGCCATGTCTTGGCACTACGCAGCATCAGTTAGTCGTCCATAATTTACACATGATTCGGCTGCTCTATATCCGGCCCAATAGCTGATAACCGCGCTTCATGAGGATTGTTTGTCTGTCGCAACGAGTCAAACCTTCAAGGCATGTAAACGGGACAGAACTAGGGATGAAACCTCTTCAGGCCGTAGTCATACCAGTTATGAGACCGATACCAGCCCGTTCGCAGAAGCGGATATTCCAAATGCGACCTAGCGCATGAGACACCCACCGTGTTCGAAACCAAGCGGGAACCAAACTAGTCCTGTTCCGGGCAAGCATGCCCTGGCAACTCGAATAGACTTTGACGCCTTACCTGATCAGGAGTTCTCCCAGCGCGGCATGCGCTGCACCAAGCCCTGGAGGTCCGCCTCTGGTGGCTCTCGTGCCCTGGTGGCTGGTGGCGGACCGGTGGCTTGCTGTTTGGGTTCACGGGCGGGTCTGATCCATGGCTGAGGCCTGGTCCTGGGCCCGCACTTGCGGCTGGATTTGCTCTTTTCAACCCTTTGGCGCCGTAATTAATCTGCGTCAGACCCTGTACCAAGATTACGCTCTTGCCCTTTTCAAGAAGGGGCTGGCGCAACCCGGAAAAATCTCCCCTTTGGCCCAAACGGGCGGTGTTGGAGACGGAGCAACCTTGCGCGCGGACACCAGATATTATTGGAGGCAGCACACCCGGAGAGCTGCAACAAAGCTCCTGTCCTCTTCCCCCTGGCAGTCGACTACCTGTGTGGCATGATGCGAACAGTAGTGATTGCGAGATTGGAAACATCTGGCACTTTGAGTACGGAGTAGTTCCTCAGCCTTGCCCGGCGACCTCTTCAGCTCCCGCGTCATCAGCATCAGCATTCGCTTCGAAGAGAACCAGGAGCGAAACAGAAGTGATTGGGGAGATAAACTGGCTGTTATCAGCTGAATCTTCCGTTCTCTTCCATCTTTTCCATTTCCCTCTCCCTCCCCGCTACTTGCTCGTTATCGTTCTCCATCGCGACCCAGCATCGAGCTTCGCTACGTTTTCTTGCCTCTTTCGGTTAAACCGGGGGCCTCATCCAACCCCCGCTTACTCCCAGTCACCTACAGGTGGTCATTTTTATGTTCCCTCACTTCTATCCCTCGGGGCTTTGCTACGTTTGCCGTTAGCATAATATTCCGAATTTGTTCAAACTTCCAGGAACAATGCTGTATTGCGACAGCTAACCATAATACTACCTCTCCAGTACTCAGGCCAAATGGCTCATGTTTGTGTGGCTGCGAAGTCGGATTCCATACCTTAGCCAATCCTTATAGGGTCAGCTATCTTCAAGTCCCAAATACCACTTCCACTTTCGCTCGTTTGAACCGCTTTTCGTTCAGCAAAATCACGAGAGCGCTAGATACCTCTAATCGCAACTGCACTTACCAGGGAACATATACAAGCGACCAACGCCTTTTTTCTCCGTATATACTTTGTTTATTTATTTGCCCATCTATCTATATATCTCAGGATCGCGGCTAGCATCCATCCATGTTGCTCACCGTGAAACCTCCCCTGCACAACGGAATCTTACCTCATGAGTACGCTGCTTTGTCGTCGCCTTCCCCTCAGACCCATCAGCGCCATCACCATCACCATCACTCCTTGGCCTCGACCACTCGTTACATCTCTCGTGCCTCGTCTCCTACCCCTTCTCCCCCTCCCGTTTCTGGTCTTCCTGCGCCATCAATCCGCTCCCCTTTGTCAGACGAGGCTATGGACTCGTCCAACCGAAACTTACCACCAATGTCCGGAACTCTTGCCCCTTCGGAGCGCGATCTACCCGCAATGGCTCCTATGGGCACATCCATGTCTCATCTACCAGCACCCCCTTCGCAATGGCAGAATACAGATGAATCAATGCGCCAATGGTTGCAAACAAAAGCAGAGGAGGATCGCCGGAAACAAGAAGAGGAACGCACGCGCCAAGAATGCTACCGGCTGGACCAGCGCAAAATTGAGCAGTCAATGCTTCGAGAGTCCCTCAAGGCCGGTGTGCCTCCCTATATGGTACCTCTGATATTTGCTAATATGGGCGGTGGATGCAATCTCCAATGGACTCAGCAGCATATGTCTCAAATGCACGGGTCTTCCACTCACCCGCTTATTCCTTCTCACTCAATGCCGCAACCTCAACCTCAACAGTATTCACCACCTCAGCAGCAACAGCAGCAGCAACAACAACAACACGCTACCCCAACGCCTCAACCTACCCCTTCATCAAGTGCTCATCGTCATCCTCCGCAGCCACATCCTCAAATTATGCCACCCCCTTCTCTAACGCCAGTAGCCACTCAACATGTCGCACCTGAAACTCCCTGGGATTCCCGTATGATCCCCCCAAACCCATATGCTTCACAACCTCCACCACATACAGGGGTAGGTCCGTCATCGCAATCTGCGCCTCCATCACCATCATCCCATGTTTCGTATACACGTGCGCCATCGTTGCGCCCGCCGAATCAACCCCCGGGCCAACCAAGTTCCAATGCTACCCCATTGTCGCGCATTAATACGTCAGAAATGCATATCCAACAACCACCGAACAACTCTTATACCGCGGCTTCTCCATCGGTTTCGGGACCCCCACAGCAGTCGCCATCGCTAGCCAAATCCGATTCAGGAGCTCACTCGCAATCGCAACGGCAAACTCAGTCATCTCCATCCATCTACTTTCATCATTGGGTTCCGCCTGGTCAATCACAACCAAATACCCCATCAAGCAAAAGTCCGAATAATTCACCGTACTCATCAAATCCCAATTCCCAGCTTCGGTCTGAATTCCAAAGTTCCCCGAGGAAACGAAAGGCGCAATTCGTCCACCAATCTGTCCCACCTCCATCACGTTCCGACACAGTGACGTCTCATACTTCACCGGACCGGATGTCTCCACGAGGGAACGGACGGAGCAGTGGGCATTTACGACATCAGAATCAATCTCAACTGCAGAGTCAGGAGTCAAGACATGGCGATCTACTGGAGCCTGGCAGGCCTGGCGGGCAGATGCACGTGACTTCATTGGTGAGGAGCGCCGACGAGGGAGATGGCAGGTCGACATCAAGAGGAAGGTCAAATTCAGATCGAGAGAGTAAACGGGAACGGAGCAGTAGCCGTGCACAAATTTCCGGTGACCGTAATGGCAACAGTCACGGTAACTACGCTGGGAGGGGCTCACGAGACGACCCGCAGAGCGGACCTGGGGGAAGTCATAAACAATCGGCTTCCAGCAACATGGTTCACTCTTCCTTCAGTACATACGGCTCTAGCTACGGACATGCCCGTGAAAGCACCGGGCCATCTAATTCGGTATCCGGAGCCGATACTAACAACTATCGATCCCCTTCAGACCGATCACCTATTATTCACCCTCGAGAGGACCACCCACAACCATCATCGGCAATATAATGTGAACGGCTAGCTTGTTCTATTCTATTTCCACTTTTGTTCTATAACTATTCTGTCTTATCTAAATTGCTCTCATTTAACGGGGGTTTCATTCTTTGTTGTTTTCATATGTCACTTTGGGCCATAGAGCGATTATCATTTTTTTGGGCTCTCATGTCATATTTTATGTATCTTGCTTTTGGCTTCCACCTCTATACATTAGGATGTGTCAGGCATTTGTTATATGTGTGTGGTCATTGCATCGGAGCTGGAAATTTTGCAAATCTTACCCTCATTTCTTTCATCCCCATCTTCAACTTTCAAATTCTATTTTCATTCATTCTCTTAATTGTTCTCTCATCATTGCCCATTTCGTATGGGATTCTTTTGTCTCCTTCGGTTACAAACAGTACGCAGGATGAAGTGAGGATTTCCATCGAAATTTCTTTCTACCTACGACAAACTCTTCATAGCTATACGTTTCTTTCCATTTTGGTCATCATTGTATTTTTAACATCCCAAAAACGTTTCCTTGATCTCTCCTCAGTGTTTATTAACTTCTACAATGAGTGCGCCCCTCTACAAATAGAAGTGGATGGGTTTCATAATCATTTTTTTCTCTACAATAAATAAATAAACATGCATATTTCCGACGAATATGATCCTGGAAGGGTAGAACATATTCCGATATCTAAAGAAGCAGAATTGAAAGATAGAAGGAGATTTTGGATTAAAACAAAAACAATCGGAAAAAAGAAATGCCCCCGGCCAGGATCGAACTGGCGACCTTGAGATCGCTAAGTAGTTTTTCCTACCTATCATATTGTAATAGGACATGAATATGAGACTCACGTGATAACCAACTACACCACAGAGGCAGACTTGTTAGTGTACGGTGATGCCGAGCTATTGATATGCCGTATCCACATATGGAGTTTGTGAAATACGTCACCGACAATAATATTACACCTCAGCTACTTTTTTTTTTTTTTCTTGGGGGAGGGGGGGGGGGATTTACGGACTGCAGTTCTAATTTTGCCTGCGGGACGATATATTGCTGCGAGAATCAATACGAAACTCATTGCCGTCTTGCCATCCGGTGTCTCTAGTCAATGGCGGTACGCGGATGATACAATTGTTACGATGATGTAACGTGTTGCCATTTCGGATCAGGTTTGGAGCGCGTTTGTATGCTAAATGGGCGCAGGACTTTTGATACGACACCCCTCGTGTCTTTCAACTCTATCAGAGATAACGAGCTTACAGAGGATTGAGCGCGAAATTCGCAGTTACACGTTGCTCCCCGTGTTGTTTTGTTCTTTGAACGTTTTGAGGTGTTGATTTATATTTCTATATAATTGGTCTAATTCTAATTTCTCCTCTAGTTGTACCTACCAATCCGTGGCTTCACTATGCCAGTGACCGGGGCCATTCAACCAGCACAGACTATTGGCGCAGTCGGCAAAGGATAGCGCGTCTGCCCTGGGCAAGTCACACTCGTGACGATACGATCTTGCTCCTCAATTCCCTACATGGACTGCTGCCCGCATATTCCTGACCTTGTTGAAGGAGCCTTTAGCAAAACGGACCCATGCGCTAGTGTGACTAGTGGCTGATGGCCAACAGATGTCATCACAATTCCCTAGTTAAAAATTGAATCGGACCAGACCGCGCTCCCAGAGATCTCCTCATTCCTTGCGCGAGGGACCGTTTGGAATGGTCCTATGGAATTTTATATTTCTCGGGTCTCCCGTCGTCTTCACTATCCAGTGGCTAGCGGCAGGCGCCCGCATAACCATCAGTGGCCCCTATGATCCCGATTTGCCTGGTCACAGTGATAAACATAAAGAGAACGGCTCACGCGGCTATGGCTGCCAGACCCGCGAGAGCGAGATAATTTCACCTATAAACCCGGACAGGTCCGGAGGGGATGACGGCACGCTGTGGACTGGAGAAAACTGTGTTCAACATCAAGCGGCGTCCCCACCAGGGCGTCGAATGGACTCGATGGACTCGACACGGTTTGTAGCGGAATAGATCGCATTCCTACAGTTTCCTGGGTTAGACCGCCTACACAGGGCAGCAATCGAATCGGGAACAAATTTGCATTCGTCATGATCGTGGGGGGGGAAGGGGGGCGAGTAGAGGTAAAGCATTCCTATTCAGGGGACCAGTCCACTACGGCAATGGAACAAAGCGTCCCCGCTGACGCTACGCTGGGGCTGAACCTGATTGCACCCCCGCCAGGAAATGAAACATTTAACTCCTACCCTTCTCAACAGCTATTTTTCAACGGCATCTACAACGGCATCGAGGAATCCAAATAGTACCTCGGAAAGACCGCTGTACACTTTGGGAGATTCACCTTCACCGAGAAGCTCAACTGTATCCCCCTCCGCTGGCTCGGGGGATGATGGGTTTTGGCCTTCTCCCCAACGGCGGCGGCTATATGCCATCCAAGACAACCATGAATGGATCTCTCGCCGACGCCACGATTTTCCTCCGGCTTTCCGGGACCCAGGAGCCACGAATACTTGAGGTGGAGAAGACCGAAAACACTACTGTAGTGACGAATATTCTGTACACCGAAACGGAATTTGATATCACCTTCAACAGCTATTATGATGTGCGCAATTCATCTCAACGTCTCGTGGGGGACGCGTATAGCGAAAATGCGATATCTTTCATCGGCGCAGGGACGCGCGATCGGACCCTTCTGCTGTCTTATTCTTTAGCGTTTTACCGTTTTGTTCCTTTTATGTCCAGTTGTGATGATGTAGTTGTGATACCCCGGATTTACCGGTGAAGTTCAGTGTGTCGTTTTCGGAGAAATTAGATACCCTCGCTTGCGTTTATAATATTTAGTTAGTGGGAGACTGGAGTTTGTTTTTATGGCTTAATATATCATTTGATCTACGTGGGTAATAAAATATTCTGGGAACAATTCGGAAGGGGACGGAGGGGTGGGTCGAGTTGATTGACGATGCGGACATGTGGATTTAACGATTTATTTATGACAACCATGTAAGCTAGGTGTACACTAATGACGGCAAAAAGAACGAATTTATTTTGGATGAATAGCAATGGCGTACATAGATGTGTCAGAAGACATATTCGTGTGTACCTTTTTCCTTTCTCAGGTATAAGGACGAAGGGAAAAAGGAAGATATAAGACCAAGAGAAATGGATTAAAAACGGGAAGAGTTGAAAAAGGACAGGGCAAGAAACTGGTGAAATAGAAGGATATTATTATTCAAGGCCTCTCATAAAAATTAAATAAAAATGAGAGTTCCTGCGAAGGAAAAAAGGACAGTGTAGTTAGTAATTTTACTATATTAAGTGGGAGAGAAAAGTAGGAGAAAAAAACCCAAATATCCTGAAAAATGAAACACACACATACACACACACAGAGAAAACAGAGGGGGTATCTAGATACTCTCATATCGAAAAAAGGAAGGAAAGAAATTTAATAAAAACGAAAAGGCGAAAAGAGAAACCGAATTACGAAAATTCAAAATAGAAATAAAGAAAGTATGACAAAGAAAAGAAGAAATCTTCCTTCTCTTTCTTTCCATCCCAGAAACATTAAAACATTATAATTATGGTGAATTAACAATTCAGATGAATAAAAATGAAAGTAAAATGAAAGATGATTATGAAAGAAGGGGGTTCTGAGGTTGGAGAGCAGGGCATTATGGGCGGAAAGAAAGGGAAAAAAAAAAAAAAAAAAAAAAAAAAAAAAAAAAAAAAAAAAAAAAAAAAAAACTATGTGGATGCGTAAAGAATGGAATGGTTTAGACAAAGGAGAAGGAAAATTAGAAAAGTTGAGTAGTAAAGATGTTGAAAAGAAGAGAAAAAGAAAAACAAAAGGGAAGCGAGTGTCAGTTGTAAGTTTTGGATGACTCCTTTCATGCCACTGCGGTGCACGAAGAGGCACAATGGCGACGAAACGGAATCCGTTTGAAGTTGAGTTGGCGACATAGGGTGTCCAACGGCATGGAGATGTTGAAGTTAGGACAAGGCGGCGACGGGCCGGTACTCATCGAGCGCCTTATGTCTCCGAGAGCCCAGATTTCGCGCCCGTGTACAAATAACCATATATCAACCCTTCTTCCGATGATGAACCTTGTACTCAGCTCTCGCAACCCGCATGAAAATTTCTACATCCTTAATGGGGACCCAGCTCGTAAGTACTTTCATGGCGTTCTCGAAGTCGGATTCTAGGATGATATCGCGCATTCCATCTATGAGGGCGGCGGAGGTGGCATGGAGGACATCGAGGCTTTTGCCGAAAGGGCTTGCGTGGGGTTGCGATGGCGATGGGGCTGGGGCTGATAATGCTAGTGGATCTTGTTCAGAGTTGCCGTTTGCAGTGCCAGTGCCAGTACGAGAACTTGTTGGGGGTCTAGAGGCGGAGGCGGATAAAGAGGGTTCATCTGAGTCTCCGAGGAGCATGAAAACGTCCCAGACGCGGAGTTGTGCGGGGAAGGGAATTGAGTAGTTGAACAAAGTTAGGTACCATCGGGTGCCGTACGCTGTTGGGGGGATTCCGAGTTCGGTCTGGATAGAACTGGTGTTAGCAGTGGGTGGCTATAACAGAGAGAGAACAAAAAGGGGTAAACATACCAGTTTTTCAGCAACTTCCCCTCCTTCAAGCCATCCCGTTTCAAAATTGGCTAGTGCTTCCATCAAACCCGAAAAACCCGACCGATACAGACGATCCAAACCCCTAAGTTGCCACAACCTCACTAGCATTACAAACGCATGCTCTTCGTCGTAGTAAGCAAGAAGGGTCGCAGCAAGTGCAGCCATACCCTGGACATATCCTGTGTCTGGAAAGTAAAGGGACATGGCATGGAGAACTCGGAAGAGAAGCCTCTGGCCACCTCGATAACGGCGACGAAACATAATATGGCTGCTAATCGTCCGTGGAACATCGATATCGATCTGTACGTCATCTGGGGAGGCTTCATCTTGGAGCTGGTTGAATTTCTGGATGAGTTCTGTCTCCGTCGGGCTGTCTTTCCGTTTCCTTGCACTGGCACTTAGAAACGCATACCAAGCGGTTGATCGCCACCTGTCAGGTATTCCTTTCCAGGTCCGTTCAATAAGTTTCGAGCTCTTCACGTCGAATTCGAATGTCATGCTAGCACCATCCTGGGGTTTAGACACCACCTTTGCCATCTTTCTCCATTTATCTTCTCGCTCCCATTCCTTCTTCTTCATTGCGAGCGCACGCGGGCTGTTATCATCATCCTCCATGACTTGGCCCGGCAGAGTTAGCATGTCACTAGCTTCATCCATGAATTTTCGATTTTTGTTATAGGGTAGCTTGTTTGCAGCATATCGTATTCTTGAAGTTGATCTGCGACTGCTTGCTTGATAGGAGCTCTGGGAAGATGTGGGCCGCGATTGATCTGTAGATTTCCTGGGCGGGGAACGGCCAGCAAACGACCGGGAACTAGGTGCCACAGAAGTCTCCTTCCGTAAGGTACGCTTCCTACGTGGAGTTGTGGATGCAAGTAATAAGCTCGTTGAGACCCTTTGCAGAGCTGGAGGGGCTGGATCTGAAGCATCGCTGTCTTTTTGTCGGGGGATAATGAAACCATATCTGTCAACATCGCCGACATCGACATTTTCCCAGTCCTCTAACCCACCAGCAAGCTCATATGGCTCCCTTTGGATAAAGCTTCCTCTTCTCGAACCGCGCCCCGCAACTGAGGTAGTAGGCGTGTTTGCTCGTTCTACTTCAACCCCGTCACTCGAGGCTGGAAAAGCAACCGTGCATGGTTCATCTAGCATAGACTCCTCTTCATACAAGCCCAACAGCTCATTAACCTCTGCATCGTCGACGTCTTCATCCCCCCTCTCATACATCAAACGAACCTTCTGTGACAGGACTTCCTCATCGATTGACATGGCTCGAGTCATACAGCTGGTTGGACGGGGGCGTAGAGAATTATATGATCTTATACGCCTCGAACTTAGCGATGTGGTAGTCGTGGATTTGTTGTGAACGTCGAGTGTAGCATTACCATTATTTCCCCCGCCGCTAGGGAGATTCTCTTTACTCTGCATGTTTTCCTTCGTCTGGTTCCCATCAACATCCGTCTCAGAAGCAGGTTCGGTATTATTCTGTGGGCTTTCAGCAATTGATTCTAAGGGATCTGTGGTCAGGTCGCCAATGGAACCAGTTGGGATGTCCAGCGTAATTCCACGAAACGGTACAGACTCAACGGGTGGAAGTGGTGGTACGGCGGGAAGAGGATCTGGCTTCCTTTTTTTGAGCGGGCTCCATTTCCGCTCTGATCGTCGCGAGCTAGGACGGGCGTGCTCTTCATCTATGATGATGCTTGGAATGCTGGGGGGCGACTTCAAGCTTGGAGCAGAGAGTTCGTCTGTAGCTAGAGTTGTTCTGCTGTTTCTTCTTGATAGAGCCTGGCCGGAATCCCACCTCTCGCTCTCCACGCGGTGAATTGGTTTCATAGGAGACGAAGGGAGCTCCGGGGAGGGAGCTGATGGCTCCTTGGGGTCTCCACCTAGCGATTCGATTCGTAGGCTAGAGGCTCGAGAATGGGGAAAGGAGGGAGAACAGGGGGACGGGATGGGTGGCGGTGAAGACAGGGGGACAGCAATAGCAGTAGCATTTTCGGTGTGGATTGGGTCAGGAGCTCCAACCTTTGTACTCGAGCTTGTGGGGGGTTTTGCGGGGGAGGCCATTTTAGTCGCGAGATCTCCCATGACTTTGAAGCCGATGTCTAGCGTTTGGATATGTGTATAGAGAGGATCCAGGGTGAGAAACCCTGAGTGGGAATGTTGATCCAAGTCACGACTGCTGTGATATGAGGGGCGAGGTGCGAGGAAGGTGAATCAACAACCGTCGTGGTACAAATTGTTAGTCCGGGGGAGATGTCAATTGCCTATGGAGATGGGGAAGGACAGCAAGGATATGGCGGCGGTATCCCACGCATTAGAAATTAAAATTAAATTTTAGAGAAGGATTCCGTTCAGCGAGGAGCAGAGGGGAAAAAAACCAGCTGGTGCCATTGATCAACAGGCGTTGGCCTCGGACCAGTAACGGCGGCAAAGGATTTAGTGCAGGCGTGGTCAAAGCAGCAGCCAAAAAAGGGGCGGCGCGGCTGGCGCGTACGCCGCTGCGTATCTCTGCGGCGGTTGGGTTGGACCCACGAAACAACAAGCGGGCGCCAGCCGCACCCGCGATGCCGCTTAGCTAATCACCCCTATTGCCACGTGATACAAGCTTCCGCGATAAACTAAACTCGATATGCATAAGCGCGATGTTCTCCAGGGCTAATCTTGACCCTAGAAGCTTGTGTAGGATAGTTGAAGGTTGTATTGATAGATCTATCTACAGGAACATATTATAGTGGTGGGTCACGTGATCTAGTGGGATCGCTAACCGCAACGGCCGTAAGGGCCAACAGCTTGGAAGCTTGGTACCCTAGAACTCTGTTATTAATAAATTGTTACATACAGGCATTGGCTTTGTTCTCCTGATGACAGGCTATAGTAAACTACTTATATATAGAAACTATCTAGTGAACCAAACAACACCCATTTATTCCGTGGTATTCAAAAATCAATTCCCGCCCAAAACTCCGTCTACCATTACCACCTGCCTCCCTCCTACTACTTCTTCGAAACGAATAATGGCCTGGGAAAAAAGAAAAAGTATGTTGCTAAAATAGAGGAAGCACGTGCACATGAGAGGGAGTTGTCGTAGGTGAAGGGAAGGGGATATCTAGATGTTCCCGTGGCTATGTATACCCGACATGTTGGGAGCAAAGAAAATAAAACAAATGGAAACCGTTGAAAGGGGGAAGAAACAATGGTTGGCAGCGAAATTGTGCACGGGATCACCACAGCGCCGCAGCGCAGGAACTTAAAATATATATTTTTAAGCCTCCGCGGCGGTACCTCTTCCAGATCCAGATCCATTCAAATTATTACTATTATTATTATTATTGACACCCTGTCCTTGCCTAGGTTCAGTGGGTTCCGGTGGCAGAATCTCAATCTGGCGGACGAGGAAACTTTTTTCATCCGTGAACTGATCATCATCCGTCCTGTCCTCCAAGAACTTAGGGAGGAACTTTAACAGGCGGTCTCGGTTGTTGATTAAGATTCTCTGGACGGCAACAGATTTGTTCGGGTTTGCGACAAAGACCTAGATAAATCATTTGTCAGAAAATTTGTTGGTTATCATGGGTAGAAACTGAGGAAGGGGAAATTAAGAAGCAAAGAACTCCGGCTGAGTTGGCCTGACTGGGTAGTCGAACCTTGAAAATATGAAAACCTTCATATTGAACCATTTTACGATCATCTCGTAACAGATTCATGCACAGCTTGAGGTGATCTCCGCGGTCAACATATTTCGTCATGATGTTATAATTCGTCCGGTCTAGGAGGATTTCGCCTAACAGCTTAATACTTTGTCGCTTTGTCACGTACGAGTCTGACTGGACGAGAATACTATTATATTTGCTGAAGAACAGTTCAAAGTTGGATAACAAGTATTGTGACACCAAGCCTTTATGTTTCGTAAGAACATCCTAAAAGCAGTGTGAATGAAAGAGATGGGAAACAAACAGCGAGCAAAGGACTAGACGCAGTCACCACTTACCCGAAATGTAGTAAACGCATCAGCGCTGACTTCAAAACTGCCGCGGTTGATCCATTGAAAAAAATTCCAAAGGAGCCCTTCTCCCGTTTGTTTCGCACCAGGATCGACCTCGTTAATTCGGATGGTAGGCTCATCTCTGGCCGACTCATCGTAGAGTATAATAGCCGCGATGACCTCGAACTTTAGAGCCTCACGCAGTATAGATCCACAGGGCATGGCACTTCGATGATTTTCATAGCCCCAACATAGCTCAGTTATGATCTCCGGTCGGTTATGGACAATATAAGATACGACGGGGGGATCCGCAGAGTTCGCATTGGCAGGTCTGAAACGGAGGATGTGAGAGAAGATGGTCTGCGTATCTTTTCTTGCCTCGAATGGTAGATGGCGGATACTTCGGGCTAGTTCGTAGAGTAGGTCTTCTTGAATGGCTGCTTGTACCAATTGATGTACCTGCTCAGGGAGGATATCGACTTCTTCACAGCGGGATCGTGAGCATGAATTTTTTGGGCGAGGGGCGATTTATTATCAAGATTTACCAACCCTGTGTCCCTTGAACAATCAATTTCATGTGAGCCAATTGCTTGGCTAGATCATCCTCCACCTAATTCTCCTCTCCCATCAGCAGGATTTCCAGCAGTTTTATTTGGAGAAAAAAATGCAACAAACCTTTGAGCCGCCATTCGAGTTGTCCCACAAGCGCACGACGAGGTCCTTTATTGACCGCGCGACCTCAGCAGGTTGTCGTGGCCTCGCGCGGTTAAATAGGAATGCCATCGATCACTCAGCAAGACTGCTATTGGTGTCGGGGAGGTCTGTGAAAAGAAAACCATATATATATTGCCCTCAATGGGAGGCTGCCAAAATTTAAATAGAGCGCCAAGAGGTACAGTGCTGGGTTACACTCCTGTAATGGCAGCCAATACTCCAGGCATGAAGCATTGGAGGTTTGGATTAAGTAGAGGATCGTCGAGATATGCGACATGTGTTTTGAGAGGACAGAGCCATGGGAGGGAAATAGCGTTGTTAGGGTCTGCGACCTGATCCAAACAAGCATGGTACAGTACAGGACATGTACTACGTAATGTACATGTACATGTACATAACTACCAATTGGTGGGGTATCTGGCGCTCGTTACGCGCCAGGACACTAGTATTAGCAACATTATGTGCGCTGTACAGAGTATGTACCCTCATATGATACTTCTATAACTACGGTGTACTCTATAGATTTGATAAGTGTATTGATCAGTCTTTATACGCAATGATACATGCAGTTCTGGCGGCCTGCAATATTACTATTCTACAACCAGCTAGAAAATAATTAATAACTTGTTATAGATAGTATGAGAAATATTTTCAGTCTCCATTACAGTAGATAGTTATATAAATATTGCAATGTTTGTCTATCCATGATTGTAAACCTATGTGTATTTGAAAGCTTGTTTAAAGTATTCAGGGGAGATGGCGCCTATATAGAAATCAGGTTGGGACTTTGTACGGAGTAGTTGATTCAACACTGGTTGACCGCGGAGTTGAGCGGGCAATGGCGTTGTTTAGTGCAGTTTCATCAAGAATTATCGAGACAATGACAATGCATGCGTGAACAGGGAGAACCTGATTGAGACGAAGGAGGCCAGCATATTTTGCTAAGGCAAAGGATGAAGGCTTTCCTTCCAACCAATCAATTCTCTCATGAGCTCATGAGAGACGATAGAGAAACGGAAACGGCATAGACGATGTTTGATTCCGCTCTAATTCCAGAGTTGAAAGATCAACAAAAGGGGCTCATGTCTTGCCATTATTTCCTCGAGCAGGGGTATTGAGGAAGAGAAATGATAGCGAATGAAATGAAATCCACCCAGTGCAGGAGACATGTGCCTGTGTGCCTATCACGCTGTAAAAAATCTCGTGGATATCCAGAAGAAGACCTTTCATCTGCACTTCTGTATATAGCTGTGTAGGTCGATCATCCCCATACTCAGAATGGACTCTAAGACTCCATGAATAGGTTATATTCAGCTTCAAGAAACTTCTTCCCGATGCTGTGGATATCCAGCCCACGACGTTTCTAGAGACCTATGCGGTCCTCGAACAAGTGAGGAATATCACCGGGCCAATCAGCAGGGGTAAACAGTTGATGTCTAAAATTGATCTCAACTAGATTAATATCGTCTAACTCCATAATATCTGACATCTTTCCTTTGTATCCTTGCTTGCGTGAATTTTCTGCTGGAGCTCGAAGCCAGGCACAGAGTGCTGGTTCGGGTGGTTATTATTGTTAAATAGACAAGTTCTAGATCATTCCCGCTAGAAATCGCCCAGCATCTTGCCCCGCCGACAAAGAAGGGTGTGCGAAGCAGAAGAGAAGAAAAAAACATTACCTAACACACCACATCATTTTTTTTTCTCGGGATACATCTGCCCTTATCTTAGATATTTATTTATTGCACAACAATGGCTTCCTCTTCTCAACAAGCCCCACCTGCTGTCCATGAAGATTCATATTCCGATAGTGACAGTAGCTCTGATCCTCTAGACCTATCCAAAGATGAGGGATGGGAAGATGTTGAACTGGACGAAGAGTCTGAGCCCGTCATAAGTTTGTTTAGCGACAAGGTCTTCCCAGACGCCCGGTCAATGCTCAATGATTGCAAGGAAAACTTTCACTTCGACTTTTTGAAGGTTCAGAAGGATCTTGGTGTGTAGAAACCAAAACCGGTCCAATAAATTTCAATTGCGCAACGACGTGGTGGGGAAGTTATATTGCCGCCGTTCGATTTCGATGGTGGGAAGCCTCTAGCTGACTTTTATGCCTCTCTTTTTATTCGTCTCGTTCCATACAGGCCTCGATTTTCTCGGCACTATTAGGCTTGTCAACTATATTCGCTCAGAAGTCAAGGCTGGGAAGACCCCTGACGTATCCTCCGCGGCCCTGTTCGACGACGAGCGATACTTGAGACCGGTACTGGAGGATGACACGCTTCTATACAGCTTGGATGATTTGGCTGAGGAATCGGACCTGGATCAAAAGGCGGGAGGAAAGGATGGGCCCCGATCGAAGGAGGCAGAAGCATCAGATCCAACATCTCGAATTCGAAAACTAGAAGACGAGTTGGAACGAATGCGAAGCAATTTTGAGGAGTACAAGGCGATTGTTAAGAGGTCCTTGGACAAGGAATTAAGCAGCGCGGTTTCAAGCGTATCTGAAAAGCCTGTAGCTTCGGGCTCTGGTAAATTCCATGAAGCGGAGTCGGGATATTTCACCTCCTACTCGTATAATGGTGCGAATTGCGATTATAATTCTTTATCAGCCTCCCAATGGACAGCGAAAATAAGAAAAGATGGCACGTTCACTAACTTCTCATTGTCTAGGTATACATGAGTCCATGCTCAAGGACACTGTCCGTACAGATGCCTATAGGGATTTCATATATGATAACAAGAGTTTGTTCAAGGACAAGGTTGTACTTGATGTTGGGTGCGGAACGGGTATGATTATTGAGCCCATTATTATATCCATATCCTCACGACTTACTGTGCCTAGGTATTCTGTCCATGTTCTGCGCAAAAGCCGGGGCGAAAATGGTCATTGCTGTTGACAATTCAGATATCATTGATCGGGCGCGCGAAATCGTCTATGACAACGGGTTTGGGGATGTGATTAAGTAGGCGCTCTATCTACATCCTAAACTACCAAAGGTACTATAATCCATTCAACTAAAAAATTACTAGATGTATCCGCGGAAAAATCGAAGAAGTGGAACTACCAGTACCCCAAGTCGATATCATTGTTTCTGAATGGATGGGATACTGCCTCCTTTTCGAAGCAATGTTCGACTCAGTAATCTGGGCCCGAGACCGCTATCTCGCACCGGACGGGTTGATGGTTCCCTCCCATGCCACGCTCCAAATCGCGCCCTTGGCTGATCCAGATCTCGTGGACTCGCACATAACCTTCTGGAACTCTATCTACGGGTTCAAAATGTCCAGCATGCTTCTCAACATATACGATGAGGCACTTGTTCGATACATCCAGAAAGCAGAAGAAACCATCGTTGCCAAAGCATCACCGTTCCTGCAGTTGCCGTTACACACCATAACTGTCGAGGAGCTAACGTTCATCAAAGAATTCGAAGTTACGCTTAACACGGACATCGATGCGTTGGACGGCTGGGCAGTGTGGTTTGATATGTTTTTTATGCCATCTAGGACATCGAAGGTAGCTGAAGATGCGCTGCCGGGCGATATGAAGAAGGAAGGATATGTCGCGTTCTCGACGGGTCCATTCGATCCGGAGACTCATTGGCAACAAGGGGTGTTTTTGATAAACCGCGGGAAGAAGGCTGCCAAACCGTTGAGGAAGGGACAGGTTATTAAGGGACACGTGGAGTATAGGAAGAAGGATGATAAATCACGGCTCTTGGATATTGGGATTGACTGGGATATCGAGGGTGTCGAAACCGGACGGCAGGAGTGGTCACTGCAATAAGCTATTACTCTGGTGACATTTTTCAAATACCAGATAGTTTACGTTTGGGGTTTGGGTTGATGATTGTGCATATTTAATTTGGGTATATCAAATAGAGAGGGTTGGGTTGGTCAAAGAAATAAAAAGGGGTCATTATTCATAGCTATCATTAAAAGTTTTCATAGCTCAAATTGGCAAATTAAACATCGGCAAATTGGGCACTATAACGTTTCCCAGGTGCCGGCGCCCAACTAGACAGCCGGTCATCACTGGAAGAGCGTTTGGCCCGGTCCTTATCCTGGTCTCTGGAGCTTCTATGAGAATGACTATTGCCGTAGGCCCGGGAATGTTTTGAACGCTCTTCCTGACTCCGCTCCCCTCGTTCCCGATGGGGGTTTCTCGAGAGCTCACGGTCACGATCACGGCCACTCCCTGCCGGCTGTGTCTCGGCATCTAAACGAAAGCCCTCCAAACTATCCAGCGAACCATCCGATCCCCGCCTTCTTCGCCGCCGCCTTTCTCGACGATGCCGACTCGAATCCCCCCGCTCCCTCCTCTCCTCCTCCTTCAAGGCCTTTAACTCTCTCCTTCTTTCCTCTTCCCACTTCTTCCTTTCTTTCTCAACCTCCCGCAACTGACGTACACCCCTTTTCATCGCAGCCAACGGATCGTTCATATCAGTCCTCGCCCTCTCTCTCTCCTGCCTACGCGGGTCTTCATTCCCCCACACATCTTTACTTGGCAACATATCCTCTGCCGTCTTAGCCGCTATGTCAACGGCCGACGACGAATACCACGGTCCCTTATCCAAGCTCTGCTTAAATCCAGCCGCATTCGAGAACCGCATGGTATATTGGTCCTCATATTCGAGTTTCTTCTTTGCAGCCTCCTCCTCCGCCTCGGGATTCTTCCCCGAACTACCGGTAATAGCATCTATCGCGGCAGGCTCGGGGAATAGGTTGATATGCCCCGAATCATCGATGATGGGTGCATCGTCCTTGGACGGTTTACGGACGAGGACGACATCATTTTCACGCTTTGTTTCTGCGCGTTGCGCATCCTCTCTAGCAAATCGAATATCGCGATCTGTCTCATTTTCGCCAGCTATACGTCGTCGTTTACGGTGACGGTGATCTCGAGGTTCTCGATGTTCTCGTTCCTTATCCTTTCGTTCGGCGGCGGTTGGCGCTTCTTGAACAGGTGGAGGGGATCTCGACGGAGAGCGGAGACCCCGTAGGACCTGTATACGCTTTTCGGCATCGATTTCCTGTAGACGCCGTTGTTCTTCTTCGCCACGCGCCTTTGCTTCGGCTTCATCGCGCCGGACGCGGGCGATGTTGTCTGTGTTGTAGACGTTCCATGACTTTTTGCCGAGAAGATGCCTGGAGAGGGGAGATAGTTAGTATCTCACGGGATGTAACTGACAACTGTAGTAGAAGGGATATAAACGAAGGCAACATACAATACCATCCTCTGAGAGTTACATATAGATTGCTTTGAAGCTTTGCATACGGACCATAAAAGGTTGAGAAAGGGTCTGGTGGATTGCCCTATCCATACGGAGCAACCGATGACGCCAAGCAAAACGATGCGCCACAGTAAGAGTTAGTAAGGTGGCGCGGAGCGTGGCTGAAACCAGATGTCCAACTACAACCACGACTGTGTGGCAGTTTACTTGGACGACAAGCAGCTAGATTATTGTTCCTCATAGATACGCTGTCCTAATCTCCATTATTCGGTTTGACGCTGATGCCTAATTATATCCTTTTCACATTGCATGTTTGATGATTGATATCTGTTCATACCCTTTTATCCAGCTGCCTACCAACCCCTCGAATTCCCCGCCTACCTAGAAGCCCTAAGCTAGAGACTGATTGCCACGACCTAGGAAAAGGGTGTTCTTTCACCATCAAACCGAAGACTATATATATGACTTGAAGGAGGACCAGATTCCTATGCTTTCAACTACCAGCCATCGACCAACCACTAGGCAAGATGTTTAACCGTAGCAACTTTCCCTCGGTCAATCCCTTTAGCTCGAGCAGCAGTAGCCCCGGACCTGGAGGGGACAGAACGGGCCCGCCGCGAGACCGCTACAATAGTCCTAATCAACAGTCATCTGGTTATGGGCCGGATCCTCGATTGGGTGGAGGGTATGCATCTCCACTCCGTCGACCTGATTCTGATTCTGACACACTGATGACTGACGGCTACGATGACAAAAGGAGCTACGACCGATCCCCCATGGCCCGCGGACCGCCACAACAACACATGCCTTCTAGACAGGGACCTAGTAGAATTCCACCGAGAGGAGGAGGGGGTGGCATGGATGACCGTGTCTGGTCTCTGCGTCCGGCGAAGAGCCCGGATAATTCATATACATACGGAAATCTGTACGTTGTTGGCATTCCAGGGAGTTTGCCTCCTCCTGGCCTGAACGGACCATTCAAATAGTAAGGGATACTGACAATTTTTCTGTTTTACAGCGTAGCGGTATCTCCCCATGACATTCCACCTTCCCGCGATGGTTCGGATGTCCTCGTTCTCATAAACGATATGTTTGTCTTTTCTGCCCGTCCCCTCGAAGGCTTCCCACCAGGGCACATTAGCATGTCTGATCCACAGAGAACGTGGGCACAAGTGGCATTGACGGATATGGTCACCGTTCGGTTGTATGACATTTTCAGCCAAGGCGGGCAATCATACCTTGCATCCATGGATCTGGAAATTGGGTTCGCCGGCAAGAAGCGGACGGAGACGCCTTATGATCAAGATCAGCTCGCGCGAGTCGTTACCCGGGTTAGTACTGCAAACTTTTACGGGATGGAACAGGAAAAGTTTATCATTGCTGACTCGTAATACATAGAACTTTGAAAACCAAATATTGGCCCCTGGTCAAAAGATTTTGATGGACGATAAAAGTATTCCTCTACTGTTAACAGTTAAGACGGTTCAACTTGGAGACTTAGCTTCGGAGAAAGCAAAATCGTCCTTAGCTCCGACGACATCTGATCCTACTGCCAGAGGAATCCTAACATCCTTTACTCTAATCAACTTTTTTAAAGATGCAAAGACAGGTATCAATGTGAAACCTTCCAATCGAAGACCTGCGGCAAACTCCATTATCCAACCGGATTTCAAATTTGAGAACATGGGAATCGGTGGCCTGGATGTGGAATTCAGCACTATTTTCCGAAGAGCATTCGCCTCCCGGATTTTCCCTCCTGGGCTCGTGGAGAAACTAGGTATTCAACATGTCAAGGGAATTTTGCTCTACGGACCGCCTGGAACAGGAAAAACTCTGATTGCTAGACAAATCGGCAAAATGCTCAATGCCAGGGAGCCCAAAGTCATTAATGGACCTGAGGTTCTGAACAAATACGTTGGACAGTCAGAGGAGAATATTCGAAAATTGTTTGCGGATGCGGAAAAAGAGTACAAGGAGAAGGGAGACGAAAGTGGGCTTCATATCATTATTTTTGACGAACTTGATGCGGTTTGCAAACAGCGTGGCAGCGGCGCGGGTGGTGGAACTGGCGTTGGCGACAGTGTCGTCAACCAGCTTTTGTCAAAACTCGACGGCGTTGATCAATTGAACAACATCCTCCTGATTGGAATGACGAATCGTATGGACATGATCGATGACGCTTTACTGCGGCCGGGCCGCCTGGAGGTACACATGGAAATTTCACTACCAGACGAAAATGGACGGGCGCAAATATTGAAAATTCATACACAGAAAATGAGAGAGAATGACATAATGGATAAAGATGTCGACCTTCTTGAGTTGGCCCAACTGACAAAGAACTTCTCGGGAGCAGAAATAAGTGGTTTGGTCAAGTCGGCATCTTCCTTTGCATTTAACCGACATGTAAAAGTGGGCACGATGGCTGGCATTAGTGATGATATTGTCAACATGAAGGTCAATCGTCAAGACTTCCACAATGCTCTTAACGAGGTAAAACCTGCCTTTGGCGTTTCCGAAGAAGAGCTCGAAAGCTGTCTACACGGCGGTATCATCAATTATTCACCCGAAATTAACAGCATCCTGGGCGAAGGCAAATTATTCGTCAACCAAGTGCGGGATCCTCAATCAACCACCTCACTCTTCTCCGTCCTCCTTCACGGACCGCCAGGCAGCGGTAAAACAGCACTGGCCGCCAAGATCGCCATCGACTCAGATTTCCCCTTCGTCAAACTTATTTCCCCGGAGGATATGGTTGGTTATAGTGAAGCCGCTAAGGTCTCACACATGAACAAGGTATTCATGGACGCATACAAGAGTCCCACCAGCGTCGTCGTGATGGATAACATCGAGCGAATCATTGACTGGGTCCCCATTGGTCCCCGCTTTAGCAACACGGTCCTACAGACCGTGATGGTATTGTTGAGAAAGAAACCGCCCGGGGACCGTCGCTTACTTATCCTTGCTACAACGACCGAACGCTCCATATTGAAGCAGCTTGATGTCTTCAACTCCTTTAATTCTGATATCCGCGTGCCGAATGTGAATACCTTCTCTGAACTGTCTTACATATTGAAGGAAGCGCAGGCGTTCTCTCCGCAGGAGACAGAAGGTGCGCTCGCAGAACTGCGTAGATTGACACAGAGCGAGCAGATCGGGGTTGGGATTAAGAGGGTGCTTCTTGGGATTGGGACGGCCAAGCAGGATACTGATAGGGCGGGACGGTTTGCTTCTGTGATAGCGAGGGCGATGGAGGAGCAGAATTATGCGTGACTGTAATGATGGGTTTATGACGTGTTAATATATATGAAATTCTTTTACGTCGGGCAGCGCTACTCTAGAAGTCCATATTAAGATTTGACTACATATGACCTTTTCTTTCTTTCTTTTTTTTTTCTTTTTTCTTTTGGATCTACACTACCTACTCCGTTCTACCTCCATTCGGACATATCCCACTTTGTTATTAGTCACACGAGCGGCCAAGGCGCAATTGCGAGTGATAAGGGTACGACAGACGAAACAATCTTAAGGCCGACCTTACTGCTCATCCTTAGATAACGTAGCCTTACTTTGTTGGCTTGGGGCTTCCTTCACCTATCGCCCCTAGATCCGTTTGTCAAACAGGCTCGTACCTTGTCTGTTGTGGATGTTGTTTGCCACTAAGGTCGTCTCTAGCATTTTGTTGACCGTTCAACATGGATTTAAAGCAGAAGAAATGCGGCCCAAATTGGAAACAGTTCAGCTTTCTTTTACCCATCCCTGTGAAGAATCCTATGGTTTCAAAAGGAGTCGTGTGTGTATAGGCCCGAGAGCCGAAGTGTTGGAGCGATCGGGCTATTTGAGGGTAGAAGAGGAGGAATGTGGTTTTTTGTCCCTACAAGGGGGCAACTAATCCCAGGATATTCTTTCACTTCTTTTGATTATCAGCCACCTATCTACATTGATTTTAGTTATCAAAGAATTGGGCTAAAGCGAAATGTTGGAACTCCGTTTGGTTTCAAAGTGGAGGCTGCAAACAACAAATTGCATCGTTACCTACCCACCAAGTTAATTAGGGTTAACTAAGTGGAGATTGGAATTGGGCAGGGGTTATTATTATTATTATTATTCTTCCATTATACTCATATGCAAGCGGAGCTTATGATGAGTCCTTGCATGATGTTAAATACAGGTCAAGTGTTGGTTATACAGGAGGAAATACAGGTGTTGAGACCACGCCAAGATAACAAGAACATAGGAAAATACAAAGGAGTGACAATTAGATACATGCGATAATAACTTCCCAGCCCAGGAACATAGAGCGATTCATTGAAGCGATTTGTACACCTCTGTATTTATTAGGAACCTGAGGTGCTTGAGTTCCGGATTTAATGTATCCCCTGCGGGTTTCGAACCCACGCGCCTTGGTTTCCCACGCCAAGGCGCTACCAGGTGGCCGCATTAACCATTCGGCCACCGGGGCATTGGGCAGGGGTAGTTAGAGCAGATCACATTAGGCTGAGCGGGTAGGGTAGGAGGGAACTTAGAGAAACCCTACCAATGTCAGAAAGAGAGGGGGAAAAAAGGAAAAAGGCAAGGAAGCAAAATCATCGCACATTGCCGTATTTGCACTTGTGCATCAGTAGATTGTCATGTCTAGGCTTCTGGAGTTTGGATGATGCTGATAGCGGCGGCTGAGCCGCCTTGGCGCGATGTCAATCCAATAATGGCGCAAAGTTCTTGCTGTAAACGCGATCATGGTAAAAATATCGGACATTGATATAAACACCACCTCGTCTACAACTGTGGAACACGCGATGCGATCGTTAATTAGACCGACTCTCGCTGTGGGGAAAAAGACATTCTGTTTTCGAGCCATGTCCTCACTTGCTTCTGGTCAGGTACTTTTAGGGGCCAAATGGAACTTACCGCATCTCCGACGACCCGCTTAAGGGAGATGGGTCACACCGGTCGACAGTCTATAAAGCTGAGGTTATACCGAAAGATGCAACTGATGACGCTCCACGCTGGTTTGTATGTTCTAGCTAAGCATTGAACCTGATGCTAACTCAACCAGGGCTTTCATCAAAATGCCTCCTCCAGAGCACGAAGCTTCTCTAAACGAGCTACAGCGTGAACGTGATATATATCGCCTGGCTTCTGTTAAATCGGCGGCGTCCTTCCGGAAGCTGTACGACGTGAGTAGCGACTCCATGGACATGGGCAAAACCGACCCTAAAAGTATACGGTATGTAGCCTTCGAATGGCTGGAGACCACTTTGCAAGACGTGGAATACCGCCCTGACATCCATAGCTACGCCTTGATTGGGGCCGTTCTGAGGACAGCTTTAGACAGTTGCGCCATTCTAGAGGATAAAACCCTGGTCAATACGGGTAGGGTCTCCAATTTTGAAGCGCTAGCATTTGCTGATTAGCTCAGATATTAAACCTGCCAGCATTCTACTTTCTGGTATCGGGACTAACCGAATTACTACGAAGGTGGGAGACCTGGGCAGTGGTGAGCAGAGTTTCGATTGAATACAGATAACCCTCAGCTGATAATGATGCAGTCAGTCAGGCTGGCTCTCGTTACCATGGCTAGCCATTCGCAATGCGAGCACCTGAGGTTTGGCAGGGTCGGCCATGCGCTGAGCCCGCGCAGGTCTGGGCAGTTGCGGCAATGTTGCTTGTGTGGATGAAGCCCATTTTATTGGGCACCTCGGGTTGCCCCTTTTTCTTCTTCGCTGAGCCTTGGGAGTATCATGAAGCTCATGCGGCTTTTTCCCGCTTGGGATGTTCCTCCGGTTCCACCCCTTAAGAAAAGTACTCTTCAACTAGACTTCATAGTGGCCAAGCAATGGATCGATGACCCCCACCAGACCCGCCACAGCCATCATACTTGGCGGACGAGTTACGATTGTTGGATACAATGGCAGAGATAAGGGATGTTCTTCGTCTCATGTTGGTTGTCAACCTTGCCGAAAGGCCATCGGCAGCAGACGTTCTGGTATCGAAAGAGTTTTCCGCCTTGGAAGAATCCCTTGCGAGGATGAAATAGACAGCGAAGTCACCCTACGTGCCTGGGGTAGGAATGTAGATTAGCGAACTATTCCACTCTACAATTTAGCCACTTTAAATTTATGCTCGTTTTCGCTCATTGCCGCAAATGGAGCATACGTACTGAGCATGCATCCTCCGATAACCTTGTCCCCTGCGCCCCTGACGAAAGGCGTTGCAGCGCTCCCCTATTCGAGAGATCCTCTTGCTAGTCCAATCAATCAATCATTATATCACTCTTGGTCTAAACATAATAAATATGATAGTGAGGTGGTCTTTTAACAACTTGAAGATATTTCAAGGAGATTATACCACACTTACTTTCATGTGGCTTGGTAAACTTCCCACCCAAAAAAAAAAAAAAAAAAAAAAAAAAAAAAAAAAAAAAAGGCGATTGTGACAAGTACACACAAAATAACTCTCATTAACCCATGGCTTGGGCATCGAAGATCAAACCCATATCAAGGCATGTGGCAGATGAAACATCATTATGACACACAATACACCAATACACATACTCAGATCTTTTTCTTCTCCAATGTCCTTTAACAAGTGGATCTCTGCATCATAGCCCGCAGCCATGTCTCTAAACTGTTGGTCTGGAACATTTCAGAGAATCGTCACAGTTGACATCAGATTCTTCCTGAATTCATTGAGAGACAATAATAACGTTTCGTGCCCCTGACATTTCAAGTCCTCGCAGCACTGCAAAATATTTGCATCTCGTTCAGTGGATAGGGTGCGCTGCGAGCTTCTGCCGAAAGCCCTGGATATAAGATGACTAACATCTGCTACCCATCTGGTGCCCGTCCGCCTTCGATCGTATCTCAAATTGCCCGTGTCTCTGTTGATTCCAAGCCCTCCGTAAATCTTGTTCGCCCCATTCAATAATAGCCAGAATTGCTCCACGTCTCCTTGGTAACGCTTTTAATAGAGCTCTTTCCAAAGATATACCTGTCTACCTCGCCGACGCTGGTTCCGGCTACAAGAGGCTGGTCGATGCTATCTCTAGGAAGCCATGACCGCTGCTTTCGAGAAAGTTAAAAAAGCATTCGAGATAGAGAAGCCCTTCAACCCTAACGACATGAAGTTGGCAAAACAACTCAAAATCACGTAAATAGCCACCTCAAGTCCTTAGTGCCTTATATTAGGCGACGACAACACCGAGATCAAAATAGGACATGTTACAGACGACGAATCTCAACAGTCAGGGAGTATTTTATTATTTTATCCTCTTTCTATGACTATGCAGCTGATATCCATGAATAGGTAGCCAATTAGGCTCCCTACCTGTCTCGTGGCACCAACATTCAGATAGTTTAATCCGTACTAACTATGGGTAATCATTCATCATGATTCAAAAAAAAAGGGGGTCCCAAATTTGGAACCATAAGTTAAGCATGGCTGCATGGTGTACAGTACATACAATAACTATCCGTTCTATATCCGCTATATGGTGTAGGGTTTCCACCCTTATTATTTAGCTAGCAGCTCGCTCGTGACCTTCGGCTCTCGTCGATATATCTCAATTCCAAGGCTCTTCTTCAATCTTCCAAGCCCGCAACTACGTACGCCTTCCATCACCCTGGGCTGGCTCCCTCAGCAAACCTTTCAATTTCTCCTGGGTGCGAGTGCCGAAGTGAGTAGTGAAAGAGGTGTCCAACCGGAAATCACTCACAGGATATTCCTCATATAGCAATTTTTTTAGAGATCGTACAGGAGGGCAGCATAATCCTTGATAGTGTCGGGCTGTTTGTTGTCTTCTCTATCGTTAGCAGCTTTGAATGGAAATGATATATCTCGGGGGGGGTGAAGGGTTATATATACACATCCAGCGCTCCTACTGACCTCCAATAGGACCCTTGATAACTCAGGTCACCTTGAATCGTCCCGTGGTAATACCTACAAGATGGGATTATTAGGGGATTTGAAGTTAGAGCTCTGGCATTCTTCAATGGAGGGTGAGTTCTTCGATGTAGGAATAGGTTTGAGGAAGAGCTTGAGCGGGAATGTTAAGGCTCTGAAAAGATACTTGTTGAGAATATATTAGGGTTGTTGTACGAGAAAACAGTGAAATGAATATGAGTTGTGAAGGGTGTGATGATTGTCAGGCACAGAACTTCAGGGAGGAGTTAATTTATCCATGCCAGTTAAGTGCTATCCACTTGATTTGCATAACACACAAGCTCAAGGGATCTATCATTGGTCAACTACTTAAAGGCGACCTTCATATTTCCCTATTTTACATAGCAGGATGTCCCCAAAAATTCTTGTCTTTAATCTTTTGCAAATGCTGGGATGGATTGGGCGAATATTGTATTTTACAGTCCATCTCCCCTTTTCCTGGTACATGGTATTAATCATACGAAGCGTGGGGGTGCATTTATGTAGGTACTTCCTGATCTTTAGATACTCTGCCTACTACTGCTATCCCTTACCATGTATACGTGCCCTAGATCGTTGCGGTCTGGTCTGTTTAGGGTACATACATCCTTTACATACCATACAGAATATAATACAATACTGTACCAATAGCCGAAAAACGTCATCTCGTTGCTGGGCCTCGCCCCTGCATATCATAGCGGCATGACTTACGGCTAACTGGCCCGTGTACCTGGTGGGTGGGTGGATCATGGTGGGTCGTCCGCGCTTAGAAGTGCCAGGGGCCGCCAGGGGAAGGGACGGGAGAAAGGCGCCCCAAAAGCGGCAAGGGAGTTGGACGAAAACGTGGGGTGGAGCGGGGAAATGGTGGCGGGCGGGAACATCACCATTCACGGCGGAGATTCGGAAGGTACATCTCATCGTGATGTGGAATGTGGAGATAGCGGAATTGCTGCTACGATAGTCATAGGTCCGGCATATGGCCCTGGGGAATGTTTTCGGCGAATCAATCGCGGAGGGGCCTTCGTTGGTGCTATTCCCGTGACGCTCATGTGACGTGGTATTCGTTCTAGAATGTTTTGAGGAGCAGTACAGCTGCAGGGCGCTACTGGGCTCTACCGGGCGCTGCTGTCAAGTTCCCAGACGCGCAGGTGCGGCGGTCCAGATTGTAACTGCCGTCGTAGCGAACGGTAGGGCTCCTAATCGCCCACCTATCCGATCCCTTTGGCTGGCTGGTCCGAAAAGGAATTTGTCGTAAGCAGAAAAAGCAAAGAAAATCGACTGCTCAGGGGGGTTAAAACGGGTATAAAAATAGATTTCCTAGTTCGAAAACGGGAGTATAAAAACCGATATAAATCTCCACCACCCATAAAAGAAACGAAACTAAAGCCAAAATCAGAATACATATCAAGAAAGCCCAGATTTCCCTCTCCAAAAGTCACGAGGCTGTGACTTAAAATCCGTAGTAAATATACCAGGCAGCCTGTCCGAATTCCAAAATAACGAAAACTGTAAGAAAGAGATTTTTTGTTGACAAAGGTACAAAAGAAGCCACCGTCATGAGTCGTTAAATCATTAAAGCGAGGGTTGAATTATAGGGGTATCAAATTTACGACAAAGTTCAGTAGCCAGCGGGATGGGCATATTTGTTTGTCGCGATGCGGTACTCGTCTGGCAAAGTCCGCTCGGCTTTCGCTCTCATATTGCTGCAACACCAATGGCAATTAGACTCAGGAACAATAAAAACGAGAATTTCGAGTGCAGGGGGTAAAAATGCCAAATATCGAAAATTCTCGAATTTTGCGTCTGCCTGAAAATGCCAAGACGCGATGTGACGGCGGAGCCCGGCGGGAATGCATCTCCGCTTGGCGGAGCGGAGTCCACATGATCGAGGTAACGATATTGAGGGGGGGGAGGAACAAAAAAAAAAAAGGAAATGTGGCAGCTTACCTGACCCGTTTTTGAGTCCACTCGAGATCCTGTTTGGTCTCCTTGGCGGCCTTAATGCCGTCGGAAAAATTGGCGCGCGCATTTTTGAGTCGTCGCTGAGCAAGCGCTTGGAGTTCCAAGAGTTCTTGCTGTTTGGCGTTGAGATGGCCGGAGCTATAGGGGGAATTAGTTTGGTGAGACCAGAGATTTCAAGATGAAGCCCGGCCAAGAAACCCAAAAGCAGCGGCACTTTGCAGATTCGGCAGTGCTGCTCTCTAATTGATTCAGGGAAAGACTCACAGTTTCGCCTGCTTAGCTACCCCTTTGTCCAATCGGCTGGGGTCGAAAACATTGGACATGCGGTCATTCAGCATATCCATCACATCGACACCGGAATAGCCTCCGGAGGAGGTATCGAAGGTTTCACCGCTCGCACTGCCGGTCGTAGTGCTTGCATCGGATATTTCCGGAGGCGAACCAGCCACACGGGAGATGGGATAGAGATTTGCACCCGCGGGAGCCTTTGAAGGCATGGCGATGGGGAGAGAAGAGGCGGGCTGGTAGTAATTGCCTCTGATGGAATCCATTTTGGTCTTTTCGGCGAAAAACGGGGAATTTCCCTTGTTTCTATTTGCTTCGAGCTTCTTGAGTGCCTTGAAGGGAGCAAAATTGGTGCTCGGGAGTAACAGGCAACAGGTCCAGTCTTCTCAAAAAGAAGTGGAATTGGAAATTGGTAACAAATGACAGACTACAGCGCAGGGGAGGGGGACGGATGTTTTCTCTTCTTCACTATTGGAACAAACAATGGGTGTCTGGTAAGAAAAAGGGTATCAAGACAGAGAGGGGGAGTATAACGAGCAATGGGTAGTATCTGATATATACTACAGAAGAGGTTGAGTATAGCTGAGGGAGTCGTGGAGGGCTGTGAAGGCAGGCAGGTATAAGATGATGGTATAGGGTAGAGTCAATAAGAAGGGGCCGGTAGGAGAAGTCGGTGAAGATGCTGAAGCTGATGATGAAGCTGAAGAGAAGAACGAGAAAATAAGGAAGAGGAAGAGGAAGACAATGAGGAGGAAAAGGAGGAGCCTTTTATAGCCACGCCGGGGAGCCATCATGCCTATTCAGGAAGAGGAAGCGAGACTGATAGGGGGGGAGGGAATCCGAGGGAGAAAGAGGAGAGAAAGAGGAGAAACGAGGACAAAGGCCAGACGGAAAGGCAAAACGCAAAAATGAAGCACCGTCCTCCAATGGCGGTTGTCCTCTGTCTCCATCCCCCCCTCGTCGCATCCCTTCACATCCCGGCGCCACTCGCTCTCCGTGGCAGCCCCTATCCAATCCCCCCTTTGCCCCTTTCGGAAGTGTGTGGGACGCTCACCCAGCCCGTTCCTCTCTACTTAGTCGGGCTGCCTGCTGCTCCAGCCCAATCCGCGTCCATTGCGCCCCTCCCCCCCATTCACCTTTGAACCCCCTGCTATAACCCCCTCCCCCTCGCCCTCCTATGTCCGATTCCCGATTGGCCTCAGTTAGGGTTCACTGACCCCGCTCACCAGTCCACAAAACGAAAGTCCAAGTCCACAGTTCCCAGCCCGTTCGAGTTTTCATCTCGGCCTAGTTGAGCCCATTGAGTCCTAGGCACCCCCCGTCTTGTAGTTTGTATCCCTAGTTTTCTTTTTTTTCCTTCTGGGAGGGGGCGAGAATCCTGTGGAACGGCGGCAGAGGCCCTCCACCGCTTTCCTGGGCAGCCAGTTATAACGCGGCGGTTAGGATAGGGGTGGTGGTGGGAAGAGATGGCAAGGCAATGCTAGCGATGATGTGACGGGTGACAGGATAAGCAAGCAGAGGGCTAAAGGCGGCGAGAGATTCTTGGGATTGGGCTGCGGCTGGTGGGCGGGTTTGGTTGGCTGGATCCTTGGTTAGGCGTTGATGGTTAATAAATGTTATATGGCCAGAAAACGGGGATGGTATTGGGAATTCGGTATTGAGTATTGAGTATTGAGTAATGGGTAACTATCGTATTATTTCCGGGTGTGGGGGTTGTTCTGCTCTGCAGGCGGGTGTATCGTATAGTTTGACATAACATATAAATATGGCATCGATGGTTAGTGGGGATACTGTTGGGAGAGACACCAGCTTGACATTCCATTGATCAAGCATGCATGACTAAGACATAGATAATTTCAGATAATTTCAATGCTGTAGTGGGATGGAATGGGGGGGAAATATCTACGATTTCACAGAACAGATGCTTAAGGATAAATATTTATAAACATCAGATTCTGTAGACAGTTAGTTACATGTATTTTATAGTTCTAGGTCTGTTTTGTTTTGCTATCATGTTAACTTGTCGAATTAACTTATTAACTAAGTAATAACTAATGAACCTTGTGTGCCTTCTTCTGCTCCAAATTGACAATTATCGAGCGTGTTCACTTTCCCAGGGCTCCGGGGCTGTGAAATGTAACACACATGGACAGTACAGTACGTACATGCCCTTTCTTTCTCCTATTTTCTCCCTCTCTTGATCAATTAATGTCAACAGAGTTGTCCAAAACAACCGCCAAGCAACGTCAAAACGGTTTCAAGTGAGCGGAAGTGATCTCCAAAAACCAAAGAAGGCAGCAAGCAGCAAAAGCAGGGTCCAATAATGCTATCAAAAAAGAAACGGAGCCGATCCCGCCCGCCATAATGTAACTAATGTGCCTAATAATATGGTTGGGAAGAAAAAGAATGAAAATCAAAAGACCCGGCGAAAAATAAAACGGCGCAGAGTTGGACATCTTTGCATGATAAAGGGCAGCAAGCGGAGGCCAGAATGGGTGAAGAAGGTTTTCTGGTCTCGCCCAATTCCCAACGACATAGCAAACCGATCGAATCAATCAAATTCGATCAACGACACCACCTGGGCAGCCCTTTTTTTTTTTTTTTTTTTTTTTTTTTTTTTTTTTTTGGGAAAAACCCCAGTCTAGGCTGTGGGAAAGAGGGGAAATGACGAGATGGATTCCACCAATACTCAGATGTATTGACTTTGTAGAACGGTTGAAAATAGAACTTTTTTTGGCTGCTTCTGTAAAAGAAGGAAAGAAAGAGAAAGAAGAAACATAAAGGCAACAGAAAACACAAAGAAATGGAAAAGGAAAAAAAAAATATCCAACTTATTCACTTTTTTAACAGTTTGCAACGTGTACCCTCTTTCTGATCCGAAACAGACTAACTATCAAATCGAATTATATGCCGGGCAGCTAAATTCTCAATGCACATGGGAAAGGTACTGTGAGATCATGAAAGAGATGAAGCGCTTGGATTCTAAAATATACACAAGCCTGTGACACCACCCTGTTTTGTTGAACGTTTTACTCCTTAGCAAACTATGATCAGGTATAGCTCACGGGCACGGCTCTATTGTACTGAACATACATTACTGGCGAACCAGCTCCGAGGCGAATAGATAATAAAGTATCCCATGAATAAGTAAAATATTGCTCAATTTGTTCCCCTCCCCTCTCCTCCCCTTATCGTTTCCCTTGAGACCCAACATGGATAAGCTCGCGGATGGAAGCAGGGCAGAGAATAAATAAATGCTCCTTCTCCCTCCACACCTGCACCGAAATTTGTCGGCCGCGAGAAAATTGCTTAGAGTGAGTGGCAGTGGATATCAATATCGATGACAAGGCCCATGATGCGGAAGTAGTGTAAATATGCACTGTACACCGCTTTCAATTTCGAAATTCCCCCAGCATGCGCCGAGGGTCATCTGATTCCAAGATGGAATGACATGGTTCTAACTTGATAGGCATGTCTTCCAACTTTCCGCTAGCAAGCGTCTTGACAGGCATTCGAGGGCCGCGGTTGGACACCGCAAACGAAGTTGCAGATAGCTAAATGCTTTCGCCTGGGGTGGGGTATTTATTTTGATTTGTGGAATGTCGGGGTCGGGGTTCTAACTCTCATCACACCCGAGTATAACTTTCCTCACCCGATTTCAATATTTTTGTAGGTACTATACCATACCTCGATCGGGCCCGGCAGCCCATTCATTCTCTACCGAGTTGCCCTAATTAACTCCACGGCTTTGCAGATCCTGCGTTAAAGGGTAAGTTACACGTTAAACAATTCGATCCATTCTTAGACGGCGGACGACCTCATGTGCGAACATGATTTTATCCTATATAGTATACAAAATCATTGTGCTGAAGCGAACATCAAAAAGTGTCTTGGTGATGGGAAAAGGGGTAAAACCCCTGTGCTCACGGAAGTATCTTTGGGAGTTTCACCGTAAGAGTTCCTGCAACTATTTAAGCTAACCACAACTGAAACTGTTGGTTAGTAATGGAAATGAATATAAACATGAATCATGGATTGACAAGTGGCGAGCAACCGAACTCTTCAATTTTGCTTTGTTGATGCGAAACCCGCATGGGCTACATCTGTACAGTACGGCGGGTTCCATTTTGCGGACAGGGCAGCCCGTCAAGCTGAGTGGTAGCTTAAAGAGTGACCGAGAGGAAGAGAAAGCATCATGCAGGCGGTTTCGAGCAAGCCATGGCATCAGAGACCCGCTATGCGTAGACAATGTGTGACATGCATTGCTATGCTCCTCCAAGGCAGTTTGCAGTTTCCACTCAATTGAACCCGATGATTCTAGTGAATATCAATCTATTAATACTCCCGAACTAACGGTCCTCCTTTGTTGTCTCCGAGATTGATGAACTGCCTGCCATAAATCACATATGTCCACGTACATACTTCCTCCGACAGAGATATGGAGAACGCTCAACTGGTCGAAGATTTCTACGCGTGGGAGGGAAATTGGAGAGCGGGAAAAGAACAAGGGAGAGAGGAGAGAGGAGACGAAACCGAGGGAAGGAGGAAAAGAGGAGAAGAGGAGAAAAAGAAAAAAGAGAAAAAAAAGAGAGAAGGAGAGAGAAAGAAGAGGGGGAGGGGGGGGGGTTTATATGTTTTCCATGCGGCTCTTAATACCCATTTCGTCTTCCCGCTACCTGCGAGGCCTGCCGGACATCGTCTGTCTGAATGAGGGTGCGGGGGTGCGGGCATATAGGATAGCCAGGAGGAAAGAGCTCATCCCACCTTGCGTGTTGCGCCCCGCCCTTTTTCCATCCCCATCGCACCACCCTAGGACCCCTGGACATCGTTCGTCTGATGGTACCACTTCCTCATCCTGCAGCTCATCTTGACTTCTAGCATGCATCCTTTCCTTTTTTCCTTATCCCGCTTATGCCTGGTCAGGTCAAGCCCTACCACCCACCACCCCCACCAACCCTTCACCCCTCCCCCCCGCGCCGGGGTTTTCCCACTTATTGGCACTATTGGCCCGCCATAAGCAAGCGTACCACCAACATTCGCTCCACCTTTCCCCGTGTGCATTATTTACATCTCGCCCGCCCGCCCCTTCCTGGCAAGCGAACCATCACTCTGACCTACCATCAACCCGGGCTCTATAGATTCTATCACCATTTTCCCTTCCACCTTCTACCTTCCGCCTTTCCTAACGCGAGTACAACCACCGCCAATATTGAATTGAAGCGGCCATCCCACAACACAACCAGCTCAGCGTGTAGCGTGGATATGTCATGAGCGTCCCGAGTCGATATCTGCAAAACCTGATGGACTCAGCCTCGTGCTTTCCGTCAACTTGGTCATCGTCTCGCCTTTATTCTGAAGCGGGAGGGGTTATGCTTTTCCTTTCTCCTTGGCTTGTAGGTTAAATGCGTTCGTTGTTCGTCGAGGGTGGATGAGCGCTCCTGACTGTCGAGTGAATGAATATTCATTGTTGCATATATTCCGCTGGATTCTCGCGCTTATCCTTACGGGGTTTCCTTTTGGTCTCATGTTTTGTTCTCACGGCCATCCTACATAGGTACTGAGATTCTCTTCGAAAACTACGAATGATCAGGCTGATAGGAAAGACGTATATCAGGAAATCTGGAGCAAAATCTCATGTATAGTGACCGTAGCACCTTCTGGTTATCCTTAACCATTATCGTTGTAATGTCTTGTCATCTAGTCTCTAGCATGCTCTATCTGTCGTCTACATTTGTAAAATGCACCTGTATAATTATATATCATAGAAGTATAAGGAAAGGAAGAGCATGCGAATGTAAGCTATAATATATATTGAAGCAATTAACACTCAACTCGGGGTTGGATATTCTTCCCACCCACATAATTCCATGGCGAACGTAAGAGATGGAAAACATAGGTGAAATAACAAGAGAGAAGAAAGGTTCAACAGAAATTTAATAATAGTAATAGTAATAATAGTATATAGAATGAGAATAAACAAACACAAAGTGGAAGAAACCTAAAAATCGTACCTCGAAGCGGGAAGGAAAGAGGGGAGGGAGAATTTAGAAGGGGAATATATATATGTAGATAATGTAGAAAGAGTAGAAAGAATGTAACAAAAACTGAGGAAAAAGAGAAAACCCAAAGCCCGTATGCACAGAGTTATTGCAATTATGAGAAGTAGAAAGAAAACGCCAATAGCAGTGATAATAATCCAAAACAGCAAGAGAATCCAATTTTATCCAACAAGGACAAAAAGGAACAAAGAAAAGAAAACAGAAAGACTTAAAAAGGGAAATTTCCCCAGGTTTTCATGATTCCCATCGCCAAAAATGACAAAGAACAATGCAGCATTGACACAGCATGTATATGTGTGTAGGTATGTTTTGGGAGACACGAAGAAAAAAAAAAAATCAACCTGTAATCAAAGAGTTGTGAGAAAAACGCAGAAAACATAAAAATCTTTTTTGTCTAGAACAATGGAAAAACAAGCCAAGCCGAACGGCAGCTGCCAAACAGGGAGGTAAAAGTTGTGTGGAAAGGGGTCAGTATCTCAGGATGTGAGCAGCGGGTGAGGTGTTAAAATCCCATCCCCACCTTCCTGCTCAGCGCGTATCTTCCTTCGTTTTGAAAACATCACACCAGGATTTGATACACACTAGAGAAGAGAAGACAAAGTACAGATAGAAGTTTGGATAGACGAGCTTAAACAGTAAAGCCACCTGTCTAGAGCCTCTATCCTCTCACAGGCTCCTCATCAACGCTGCTGCTGCTGCTGCGACGATGACGGTGACGACGAATTCCCTGATTTATTCCGATCCCTAAGCAGGATCTGGGGAACACGGGGATCCAACAGCTCCATCATCATTTTGCCGAGTTCATTGTGCTTGATAGGTTTCGTCACGTAGTCATTGAAGCCGGCGCGTGAGGCGTCATCGATCTGATCCATCATTGCGTTTGCGGAGAGCGCCATGATGGGAATTTGCGGGAAGTGGTTCCGTTGTTCCCAGGAGCGGATTTCTTGGCAGGTTTCGTATCCGTTTTTAACTGGCATTTGGATGTCGCACTTTTAACAGAGTTGCCGGTTAGTCATATGACCCGGGAAAGGGAAAGGATAGAATAGGAGGATATAATCTTACTATAATCAAGGAGTAATAGCCGGGTTCTTTGGAAAATACCATGTCGATGCATTCCTGGCCGTTGCCAGCCGTTTCAGAAGCCAACTTAACCTTTTCCAAATATTTCAACATGACCTATTAATAATAAGGAGGAAACGTTAATAAAAATTACAAAAACGAATAATGGAACACCTGACGAGAATCACATACCGTCCGATTAGTCTCATCATCCTCCACGAGCAAAATACGATATCCCTTATTTCCAATGACCTCCTTAACAATCTTCGACATGGTCTTGAAACTATTATTAATCTCCCGCGCCATATCCTGGTTTCGATCATTGCTGAGATCCCGCTGGTTATAAGGGTCAAAGATCCTTGAGAGTGATGAGGGTTTGACAGGCTTTGGAACCAAGAACCCTTGCCCGCCAGCGGCACAGAATTGCTCGTACACATCACTTATCTCTCGTTTCTGGTAGATATCCGAGACAATGATCATGGTCGGTGGTGCGCTTTTGATATCCTTACTATTGCAATCGGATTGGAGAATCATTTGCATAGTTTCCTTGACATCGTTGGCATCTGGAATGTTGATTGCTAGGTGGGTGAAATTGGGACATTCGCCGCCAGCAACAAGATCCTTCCAGTCTTCAACATCGAGAACGGCAGTAGCTTTAGACGTGGCCTCTAGAGGAATAACTTGTTCGATGTGTTGCTTCAAGGCCTCGCGGGCATAATCGAAAGGACATATTATTAATACATGGTATGACGGAGGGAGAGGGGCGGACTTTTGAGATGTAGGACTGCTAACAATAACCTCAGTTCCGGTCACGTTGTGCGTAGATATATCGAAGGATGCGGTTTGGCTAGGCTGATCAGTTTTTGCGGGAGTTCCTCCACCTCGGGAGGATGGAGGCGTGTTGGTTTTATTTGACGCAAAGGAAGAACCGGATAATTGTTTGCGGGACAAGCTCAAGGCATCTGAATTTGTCGGTGAGTGTAAGCTTAGCATGTCTTGAGTGAAAGGAAACTCCTGTTGGTTTGGGCTCTTCAGTGCAGAAATGTCGTCTATGGGCTGAAGATATCGATCATCGAGGTTGGAGTTCGATAGGTCCTGGGGCGGCGGCGGTGGTGGTGCATCGACCTTAACAAAGAACGAGAACTTGGCCCCTTGGCCCTCCTTGCTTGTCGGAGTTAAACGCCCACCATGCATCTCCACAAGCTGTTTGGACAAAAAGAGGCCAAGCCCACTTCCTGCATGTTGCTGGGACGCGCTCCCCTCGATTTGGCTGAACCTTTGCATTAGCCGCTCGGCGTCTGTGGAGCTAAAACCCTTGCCGGTATCAACAACCTCAAAATTCAAAAGAATCTCCGTCCCTTTTACAGAAACTGAAGGGTCGTGGTGGATTGAACAGCGCGTGTATATTTCTCCCTGGGACGTAAACTTGACTGCGTTGCCCATCAAGTTTATAAGGATTTGGCGTATTCGGAACCTATCCCCAATCACCATGGGAGGAACATCTGACTCGACGAGATAATTCAACTCTAGTCCCTTATCTATCGCTCTCGACCCAATCGTATCAATCACATCTTCCACGATAGAGCGAACATGGAACCACTGTTGCACAATGTTCATCTTCCCCGCTTCAACTTTGGATACATCCAAAATATTGTCCACAAGCTCACGCAGGTTGGTAGAACTGTTCTGGATAGTATCGAGCATACGTCTTTGATCGTTGTCTAGCTGCGTATCCAAAATAAACGGAATTGTCCCCAATATTCCATTCAGCGGCGTCCTGATCTCGTGGGACATATTACTGAAGAACTTCGTCTTTGACTCCATTTCCCTATTCAGCTTCCGTTCCAGAAGCTTTCTATCGTTGATATCTGTGCAGGTACCATACCAGGAAGCGTCGCCATCACCAAAACTCGTCGTCTCCACTTTCACAAGGCGAACAAGATGCCATCGGAAATCACCGCCCCTCGATCGCAGCCGGATTTCAGTTGTATACGAATATCTCCCATTTTCATCTTTCTGTATTGTAACCACACCCTTCCCAACTAGCTCATGAAGGGCATGAGTTAACCCTTGGTATGTTGAACGTCGGTTCTCATCACGCATCGAATTGGTTCGGGAAAGTGGAGGCTTACTCAGTAGCCCGCTCGAACCCGAATCAGCGTTTTCGTCATAAGCCTTCAAACCCCGCGGGGGATTAATGATACGCCCAGATTCGATTGGATTATCCGAGTCCAGGGTTATTTTTAGTGGGAGCAAGATGCCGCATTTTTCAAGGTCATCCGGGTGGATATGTTTGGCAAAGCCTAAGTTAAGGGCATCCTCCAGGGATTGACCTGTGTACAGCTGCCACTGTTCATTGGCTGAGATAAGCCCTCGATATTCAGCAGCCTCAAACACCACTTGGGGTATTGAATTGGCTAGCGCTTTATACTTTGCATTCGTGGCAAATAGCTCCCTCTCCTGCGCTGCCTTCATTTCAGCAACGTGCTGCTCGTGAACATCAAGAAATGACCCAATCCAATAAAGCAGCTCCCCCGTCTGCGATAGCAAAGGATTCGCACGGAAAATAAACCAACGATAGGTCGACTCGTCGTTGTATCGCTTAACGCGAACTCGCTCCGTAAACTGGGACCCCGATCGAAGCGCCTTTGCCCATTCCTTTAATAAATTCTCACGTTCACTCTCATGTACATCAAGCCAAGGGTCTCTGGCACGTTGCTCATGTGGTTGGTTTTTTCGGTAATAATCGAATTTATCATTCGTCCAAATGACTTCTCCGATGTGGGGCTTCGCCAGAAATAGGTGTAACGGTACCGAATTGAGCATCAGCTGTGCGATGGTATCTGGGAACGGTCGAGGTGGGAGTTCTCTATGTAGTTGTGTAGCAATCGAAGCGGACGAAGCATATCGTGAGGAGCCTTGCGGTGATGTAGCCATACTCGGGGCCCTGGACGATGGGGTGGGCACTAAACCAGGATCTCTAGAAGTTAACTCATCAAACTCTGTAGATGCACCCCGCGATGACGCAGGGCGGGGCGATATTAAAGCGGAAGGCTCTCGCATTTGTTTTTGTTGCCTTAATCTTTGTTGGTTCATCATACCACCAGGTTGCTGCTTGATATTGAAATAACTGTCCGAGTTGTCTGAAGAATGTCTCGACATTAGCCCCGGCGTAAGGTAGATGTCACGAGGCATACCGCCACTAAATTCTAAGCCGGGAGTATTCGACCCTGACATGGCGGAATTGGATCTGCTGGTATCCGATCGCTGGAGCGGGCTCGGTATGCTTGAATGGCCTTGCAGTGAAACATTTTCTCCCAACGGGTAGTTAACGTGACTGCTGAGCCCTGCCACCAATTCCATTTCACTACTGGCGTCGGAGAAGGTTCCGCCAAGTCCAAGGATATGTCCGAATTGCCGCGTCCTTGAAGTTGCGAGTTGCCTTTCGAGCTGGCTGTACTGTTGAGCCAGGCAAAATGAGGTAGTGAGGTGAGGAAGGAGGTACTCGAGAGACTTCCTCAGGTTCGCTGGGTAAGGGACAGTTGAGGTGAGGATGGAAATGATAGCAACAGGAAATCTCAATGTGTTTGAAGAGGGTTGTTTCGACGACGAAGAGTGTATCAAGGGTATGTGTATGATTGTTTTGGCAAGATCAACGCCAATGGCTGCGATAGGTCGGTTCGTAGAATAATCATGTAACGGCGGACTCGAAGCAAAGGCATCATCAATCTTGCTGCTGTTATTGAAGAAAGGATTTTGCTCTGGATCCGAGCGGGCGGCGGGCGATGGAGCAGGGGATTGCGCCCAGGGCGACTGGGGAACTTGTTCGTACTCTTCATATGAATCTGAACACGAAGAGTTGGGTGGAGAGGCATCATCGTGACTATAGTTAGGGACAGAAGGCCTTGGTAGCTCCGTTATCGTCTGTGTGGTAGTACTCGTACTTGACGCAGAGCAGATGCTCGTTCGACCAATTGAAACATTGCAGGTCGTAGGCTCGCTAAGAACTGTAGCAGCCGAGGGGTTCTGAAGTGTGTCGTCCTTCGACGGCGGCTTCGCGATAGAGTCGTATAGAGGCGACGCCATCGGATGTTGAGAATATTGTCTCGTTAACACGGCGGGTTTCGTTCTTCCAAAAAGCTTCACCACGCCTGTTCGTTTTATTAGAGGGTCCGATTCAACTTCCAAAGCACGAGGAACAGGGAAAACTGCCACCGATGGGCATGGGACACATTCCGTCGAATTTACAGAGGGCTCCGAGCGCTGTTGATCTGACGTCGCGGTAGGCATATGATCTGCCGACTCCGTTGACTCTTCGTCATCTTTTGTTCCATGTTGCATCGTGGCAGGGCTCAACGAGCTTTTCGTCCGCTTGGGTGCATCTGGTCGTACACTTTTGTCACGGCTACCCATATTTCCAGGCCTCCCGAAACCGGCGAATGAATGACGTGCAACCATAGGTGGACGCTTTTCAGATGGCGTGAGAACCTGTCCGTTCAGTTTCGTAGATTTATTGTTATTGTGATTGTTGTCCACATCAGTGGTTTCCCGGTCAGAAGAATCCTTTAATGAGGTTTCTGCCCCATGATTACCTGTTGTCGCTCCAGCGGACGACAAAGAGGTCCTATAGCCATATAAACTATACGTTGCCTTTTGACCCCATGGTACATTCTCCAGGTCGGTACTATCTCCAGGTATCGCTAGGGCGGCTCTTTCAGCGCCAAAATGGGCATGTAGTACCTTCACTGTATTCGACCACCAGGCATCCAATCCGGCCTCGGCATTCAGCACCAATGTAATGTCGTAGAGGTTCGGGGTAGGATACCGCGGGTCTTCAGCGCTAGTGTCAGCGTTGTGGGCCATGAAGTAGTCTTTCCTCCATGTCGAACCATTCGCTTCAGTAAACACAGGCGCAGGGGTGGAAAGAGGCGACCTATTCCTCCGGGGCTTCGTTCTACGTATCGACAAGCGCTTCACGATCGGTCGCGCATCAGCGAAGGGGTCGAGAGAATGATCTACAGAAGTGGCTAAGGATGAAGGCGTTGGGAATGGAAACGCAGATAATTCAGAATGATCGGTCTGCTTGGGCGATCTGATCGTCCGGGACGAAGAAGAAGAATCAGTGTGGCCGCTGGACTTTGAGAATGAAGCTGGAGGAATTGGGGTGTTAGAGGGCGATGAGGGCGTAGAATGAATGGTTCTCTTGGTTTTGCGAGGCGACTTCATACCCTGGCTCGAATCAGGAGGCGCGCCAGTGTTGAAAGTGTAAGAGTTAGAACGGGAGTGAGAGACAGAGATCCCCTCCATGTGCTTCCGCAAATCATCTAGGGTGTGCATGCTCTGCCGTTGGCTACGATGTGGCAGCCCGGGTCTCCCATGGCGTGATTCGGGAGAAGAAGTGGACTCCGCAAAAGACTCGGGCACGCAGGTGGCAGCAGCAGTGGGGTTTGGAGAATGGGCAGGCGCGTCAGCCCCAGGGGTATCATGCTGCTGCATCGAGAGCAATGGAGGGTCGGGGTCGCGCTGGACGAAAGGACTCTGACTGGCAACGTGAGATCTCGAGGGACGTCGATGAGGGCAGTTGCAGGAGGCTGCAGACGAAGGGGCCTTAGTTGGGGAGGGAGGCAGTGGCATCCTCATGCTGCTGGGGACATTTGGTCCTCCTCCGCCAGCGCAGACTTAATCCTCGTCGTGAAATTGGAGACTACCGCCTAGGAAAAAGGCTAGCATGTCTTTCGGAATATGACCTACGAGACCGACAATAGGATCCTTGCTTAGAGAGATGGAGAGTACTACTAAAGTACTGTACAAGACTGGAAGGATCAAATGGGACTGGAATTGAGAAGTGGTGAGGTCGAGTGGTGGTAGCGTAGGTGGTGTATATGGGTGTGTGGTTGGTGGTGGTGGTGGTATGTGGTTGGGAAGAGATGAGGTGGTGGTGGTCGGTGGCTGCGGTTGGCTGGAGAGGTACGTACTGAGACTAAACGAGTAGTGCAGCGTGGGTGTAGTTGTAGTTGTAGTTGTAGTTGTGGTTGTGGTTGTGGTTGTGGTTGTGGGCATGGGCGTGGGCGTGGTTGCTGGAGAAAGTCCCAGCGGCTCGGGGGCATTTGGCGCTGGCAGCAGACGAGACGGCAGTCTCAGACTCTCAGGTGGTCAGTGTCGGGCAGGAGTGAGCGATGTAGGGAAAAATTATGGAGGAATGAAAGAACAAGCAACAAGAGTGTTGTCGCCATGTTCCTGGGCCTTGGCATAAATGACGTAGTAGGTTGCTGCACAACAGAAAGGCAAAAGAAGACTTAAAAAAAGATTAAAATAAAATTAAAAATAAACCCTGTTCGCTTGACATTGTGTGGGCTGAACAAGGAATAATTTTTGTTCTTGTACTCAAAACACACTGCTGCTGCTAAACGTTAACTATTCTCCCTACGGGTTATTTTATGATTATTATTGTTGAGTTGTCTACGAGATATTCTTCTTGTTAGAGGCGTCATCCATCCCAGCATATCATGCATTCAAAAGTCGGTCTGGGGAAGCAATTAATAATTATGATAGTGTCTGGATGTCCGGCTCTTCTTTCTTCTGCTCTGTTTCGCTGCTCAAGGGTCAGCCAGCAGATAAAATACCATTTAAAACGGTGCTAAAAGTCAATGAACATCAATTATCGTGCATAACATACACAGCGTACACTACTTGTCAAATCCCCCATGATCATTGGTCTCTCCTAATAGCCATAATCGGTTATTTCCACGGCTAACCCTGATCCTAACCAAGATCCCGGAATTTTTGGAACTTACCTAGGTACCTACCTAGGTAACGCTACGAACCATGTGCTTTATACGACTCATTAAAAGAGTATGAATATATACCCAAAAGGCAAGAATAAAATGATGAGTTGATGAAGAAATCCTCTCAAAAGAAAAACCAAAATCGAATCCCGAACAGAATGAAGAAACCACGTAAAAACGGCCCTACCTACCAATCGGTCCAGGCGGGCTGGTTTATTATTACCACAAACAGAGTTGTGAGAATTATTAATACCACGCTAACAACCTAGGCCCGTAAAAGAAGCCCAAGTTAACGCTGGTTAACAACAGGTTTCGGCGCGGTGCCTTCCCTCGTAGTGGCCAATGGCATCGAAACCCGGCCCAAAGTTAGCGTCAACTAGCTTCAGGTAGTGCAGCCGTTGTTTGCGCGACACTTGCTTTGGCCAGTCGACTTGCCATTTTGATCGTCAGCGGCGACGATGTCATACCCCATCTTCTTCGGCAAGACTCCAAGACAACCAGTACGGTGGCATCTTGCTTACGCTGTACGGAGTACACAGTACTAAGTAGTGTGCTGCCACGCTCACTCTCTATCCAGCCCTGTCTTTTGTGTGATGCATCAGGCTGGCTTCGCTTCCCACGCACGCTCCACGCAACGCAGTCTGCTTGTCGGAAATTTCCATAACTGATGTCTTCTTCAAAAGCCCGACATGCTAACGAAATTTAAACAGTGTGCAGGATCACTGTCGACATCTTCCCCTCCCTCATCCTCTATCCAGGTACGGAGTAACAGAGTACACGAGTTCAGGTGTCTGGTGGTATCGCACCTCCCTGCGAGGATATATACGAGCCCTTTGGCCTTGACTTTTCCCCCCATTCGTTCGTTCGCCTTTGGGTTTTGGCTGCGATGGTTGCATTCACAATCCCACAAATTATTGGGTTAAGCACGTTGTGTGGATCTGACCTGTTGCACCCAAATCCGATCGCTGTCTCCTTGTGTCCCACCCTGGCTTGCGCTAACTTTTTATTTTCTTCTGCATCCCTTCCCTTTGGCAGCTCTGCCCCCAGATCGGAATGAAATATAAGGCAAAGCTCCTCGATCAAGGGGGCGAGGATAGTCAGATAAGTGGAAAAATAAATCCCATGATAAACCACTTTCCTCATACCATATCTCCAATCCTGTTTTTTTGAACTTATTCTTTTGGTTTCTCTGATTTCAGACTTGAAACAACCTATGACAGTGGTAATTTTCGCTGCAACTACTAACTTCAACTCCCGCCAGGCTAAACTACCGACGAATGAATGGGCGAGGTATTCGCGGCATTATTATTATTTTAACGTACTGTTACTCCGTACTCCGTACAGTAATCTATACATACCCAGCAGCTTAGCTCATCACCAAATACTCTCATCATTGCCATGATTCATTGCGGGTTTCTCCCAATTCACCATTCAAATAAATGTACCTGGCATTCATTATTTCATTATTCAGTTTCCAAATACTTGCGAAATAATTCGCATCCTCGGTCAATGACTAACTTACATCCCCTTACAGTAGAAAGAAACAAGGAAGGAAAAAAATGTAATGGAGGGATCATCTTAAAACGGATATGATGTCCGAAACCCGCAGGAAGGCTACGCTTAGCCTCCTCTGCCGTTCAGAGTTCAACTAGCCTTCGCTACAGAACCCGCGTACATGGGAACAGCTTACGTTTTTTCCAGCGTAGTCTGGGGTAACTTAACATACGATACGCCTAAAAAGCGTTACCGGCATACCTCAGTTCTAAGTTCTAACTCGCTAGTCAGGAAAATCTGCCTGGGTGGCTAGCTTGGCATCCCTGCGACCCGACCTATACTCCGTATATATATATATATGCCTCTGGACAATTTCCCATTGTGCTCACATCAAAAAAGGGGGGAAGGGGAATGCTCTGTTTCTTGATAATAAAACAACAAAGAAAGGGCTAGGAATCAAGAGGAGGGGGGGAAAAAAAGCCACCTACGCAGTCCACTTCGTGCCCAAACCAAGCTTTGAGGTTAAGCTTGCTGCCCTGATCAACAAAACAAGTCGACTAACTTAATAATAAACATGCATCTTAATTTTTTCCCTCTTCTTCCTTCTTTTTCTCTCTTCATATTTACCCTTGTCACACAGAACTTCAGGGTTTATAATAATAAATTGGGGTGGTAAGAAAGAGCGAAAAAATGAATAAAAATGAGCAGCTGAAAATACGGGGGCAGGCTGAAAAGTTTATCACCAGACGAGAGGGAGAGACAACTACCAGGCTTTTCAACCCAAAGAACACATGATTGCCTAAAACTGATCAAAATAAGGCAGAAACCGTGAAATGATTTGTATAACTTCAATTGACAAATGAAGAAGAAGAAGAAGGGAAAGAAAAATGGATGAAAATGAATGAGAAGAACAAGATAAGAGACAAAGCCGGAAGGTATACAGGAATGTTGCCCACACAACCAAGATATATATCTGCTACAACACGTATGGAAAAATATTCCTCGCGGAGCCTGTCTGATAATTTTTTTTTTTTCAGCTGATATATAAATATATATACGAATATCTTATTATGTTTGATGTCATTCATTACCTGAGGTCTGGAAATGCATAGTTATTGTAAAGAATGCCCTGCATCAACTTTCGTGGCACGGAGAAACTTAACTCAGAGAACCAAGCCTCACAAATATCATATCTTTTCAATCCAATTGCTCAGAACGACAGAACAAGAAACCCTGGTCCATTTGATTATTTATCATTACTACATAGTAAAGGATGCCGTTTTACTCCATCTCATCCGGCTCTCATTCATCTGCTGATTCCCCCGATGTCCCAAGATTCATGTCTTTTAATTTTAATTTATTTTTTTCTTTCTGTTTTCGAGAAGTCTTCTACTCTGCTCGAGAATCAGTAAGGAGAGAAGCTGCCTAACGAATAATGGCGAATATCCTCTAAAAATTAAGATTACTGTGGAGCCCAGAAGAACCCGAGAAATGAGCCTGCAAGGAAGGAAGAAAATATGTGGGGAATGGCGAGGGGAGGGGAACGCAGGGCGGAGAGGTTACGTACCGACTCCTCTCCAGACTCCAGGTTCAGGAAGGACCATTCCATCCCATATGATCATCATAGATTTATGTACTACTATTTATTATTAGCTTGAGTCATGTTGGAATGGTTGAAGGCAGTCAAAACTGTCTGTGAGAAAGTTGAACTTGATGTTGTTGCCCTTTAGCTAGCTCTGTTAAAGACACAGCCGACCGACTGATCGAAAGGAATAGTTAGTGCAAATTCGGAAAGGACAAAGAAAGTTCTTCTAGAAAACGTCTTTGATGCGAGAAAGTTCTTAGTTGGAGTTTGCTAGGGAGTTCAAATTGCAATAGCACGCAGAGAATGAAAGAAAGATCTTAATTATGAATATTCCCTCGCTTCAAGGTTGAATGAACTGTCCCTGGTCATCCTACCAGTAACTAGTCATGCGGTCTTGTAGATTGTAACTTAACTAGAAGTTGGTGTGTCCGGGATTTTTTGAAATTCTGTAGAAAAAAATGCTGAGGCGGCTAACTCCGCTCTGCGATGGCCCGCCCGGCTAACATTCGTAAACTTGAAGCTAAACTAATCAACTCCTTGCAAGGATCGGTTGTTGACTTTGAGGTCTCACCAGCTTTGGTCACCCAAAAGGGGGGATCGAACAGGCATTATTGAAGAAGGCTGTCTGCGCTTCCGCCAGCAGTATCATCACACCCCATCCCTTGAAGCAGACTGTACAGAGGGGCAAAGTAATAATAGATGTGAGGCCTGAAGGGATAAACTTGCCCTTGCTGCCTCCCCCTTGCCCCCTTCCAAACCCCCCATTTTCTCTTTCCATCAAAATGATCACCCTTTGGGGCCACCAGCGCCCAAGAAAACTTTCAAAAGGGTACAAGCATGGGCAAAGTTATGGATAAATTTAGCAGTTCAATAGTTCCTATGCGTGCCCCCACGATGGCCTCATATGTTCGTCATCCTTTGACTTGTTTTTTTCTGACTAGCAGATAAGTTACTCATTTGGTGATCGTGCTCAGCTTTGGCCCTATGATAAATACATATTCTGCGGCTATCCTATCAGGGCCTGGTTGAGTGGGGAAATTCGAGGTAGAACCCTGTGTAATTGCGTCCAGTAATAATGGATGGAAACTGAGACATTGAATTTAAACGCGGGCAAGATGTTGCCAACCGGACCTCAGAGGAAGTACGCCGAGCGCACGCGCCGAAAGTCCATTACTACTATATAGGAACAGCAATATACGTACCTTTCTTGAATAATAATATAATAATACAAACTCTGCCCCATGGTAAGTTTGATATCCACCCATCTTCTAGCAAAGAGCTTGAGTCAAATTGAGGAGACTCGGTTGAATGAACATGCCTGGTAGACTCATTATTATCTAGAGGAACGATTAAGGACTTACCCAGACACGAGTGACCCTTTGCTGCATCCGTGCATAATGTGATGCACCTGCAAGCTGGTGAACGAGCTAGTATTTGGACAGCACATACATGCACGATGTTGGCAACGATCACCACCACCTCCTCCAGCCCCACCTCACCTTTCTTCGTACGCTGTTGATTCATGTAAGTTGTGATAAAAATGGGGAGGCGCCCATAGATGACAAACCGGCGTTTCTAGCAAATAATATTAGTCCAAGCTTTTTAACGCCACGCAGTCACTTGGTTCCGGGGAACCAGACGTAAAATTGTAGAAAAAATAAACCAAAATATGCACTGGGGCGACGGTTCGCTCGTTGCTGCACCTCCCTAAGACTTGTTCGGATAGCAAAGTTAAAAAGGACAGGGCAGGTTAAGGCTGATTACGGGATGAAGCCGATTTGACAGGGGGGAAAGGTCAGAGATTCACCGACAGAATCCATCGGTAGTTGCGGGTAGGTGTCGGGGATAGATCTTGATTGAATATTCAGTGTATGGATGTTGTCCCCTGCCCACACAGCATCCTCTTTTGAAGTTCACTCCACGCTACGCGTGGCCATCCCATTCACTTATTAGGGGGTGGATACTTATTAGAACTTCTGGTGGGGATCTCGATTTTGTCTCTATTGTGGCCTTTGAGAGTCGTTGATGTGATGGCCCTAGAATCTTATCTTTTGATTTTTAATCTTTTTGACGGAGTATTTCATCTCTCTCTCATTCATACCTTGACACTTTGACGCGGTTCGCACACACAATTTCAACCTGCACATCTACCCTCTCCTGTCATCAACTTTTCTATCACCAAGTGTATGTAGCACATTGTTGCAAAGAAAGTGTGCCCTCATACCCGAAAACCATGAAACTATGTTTATCTCCCAGCTCCTCTTCCTATCTCTGCAGATTAATGTATGCACATTGCCTGCCACCCCATGCATTGACTGATGTACGTTTTGTTGATTGGGTAAACATGCAAGGGGTATCTAAGGATGTTATAAGTTATCTGATACAATAAATGTGGTATCATGTTCAATTTTTGTGGCTCTCTTAGATTTTTTTTTTTTTTTTTTTTTTCGGTGTTTCCCCTTCCTTTTCTTGTGACTTTCAGAGTTCATGTTAATGTGTTTTAATGAATACTCTTATTCTATTGAATTGAATTTGACGGAACATGATACTTAGACTAACTACTTACTCATGAATCATGAAAGTTTTTCTCCAGCAAGTGATACTGTATAATATTATAAGAAATACCAAACAAGAGAATTGCCTCGATTATTTTTCTCATAGTTATTTCAAAATTTCAGTACACTGGTTTAAAGTCAAAGAATTAGTACTTGATTCATAGATTTTTCCAAGCCAGCATTTTACAAATGCATAGAGATATTTCAAGTTATGGAATATTGAGTTATTGATCATGGTGAGGCTTTACATGTCCATTCCTCTCTCCCTCCCTCTCTCTCTCTCTCTCTCTTTTTCTTTGTATTTTGAGTGAATTGATAAAATTATTATGATTATATTGTCCAAGATGTTCCTATCTTTTGCATGTGATTTCCATCCTATGTATCATTCATTCAATGCAAGGTATTTGTTTGTATGTACATCTCAAGTTCAAACTTTCAGCTGTTCTCCCACTGCAACCACACTCTTTCCCAGCAACCAAGTCCATTAAACTGATTGAGAGAAAAAGAGAACAATCACAAGCTCCTGAGGCAGCCCTGAAGCAATGGGTGGGTTCCAGCCAGTCTTACAACCAATTCATACCCGGAAAGCTCCAATGGACTGAAAAAATAGGGGAATGAAACAGATCTGATTTTTATGATCAATTAAGTGCTTTGACTAATCAGTGCCGTACTGATAAATTTAGGTGAGTGAAGTAAGAGTTCCAGGAGAAAATAGAATCAGGTTGGGGAAAGCGATTGGTAGCAAGTCAGATTATTCTTTGAACAGGATTGTATGTTCTTGCAAGATTTGGGATTCTCGAGGTGAAAATTGCTTTCCGTCTTCTTGAGTATTTCCTCTACTTTGTATACCTGTCCGTTGGCTTCGGGGGGCTTGCTTGTCTTGAGAAACGACGGTTGGGGCAGGCCATACTCCCACGATGCAAGAAAACAACATTGCCAGTTGCGAGTGATTCGCTTGAGTAGAACATGCGGAGGGCTATCTTCCCTGTCAACTGACTGTGGGTCTCGAGCCTGATGTCGGACTCTTTCCATCAACGGATGGTTTAAAGAGCTCTCAGTCGGATGATAGGGTAGGATATCCGTGAAGAGATAGGGGGAAATATTTGAAGAGAATAGGTATCATTCCAGACATCTCAGATTACATTTAGCAACATACCATCCGCTCAGGTTGATGAGATGCACTGTTTGTGACATCCCAAATTTGGGCATCCGGTTTGATAATTGATATCCGTGGAATGAATATCTACTTCTAATCTTCGATTGATCCCCAGGAACCTTTTTCCGCCCCCAGGCATTTCGTCCAGATTACCAGGCCGAGCGGAAGAACCGGAAGGCCTGGGCTGGCTTCGTGCAGAATCGCTTTTATATGAGCCACGGGCTAATTTAGCGTCCTCTCTGTTACCTGTGGGTCTGAGATTGGCGGCATACGCACAATAGACGCTCTCAATCTAAAAACGCGGTTGGTACGTACCGTAGTTATACATAGCGTAGATAATAAGGCTTAGAGCAAAGAAATCTCTCGCGAATATGGCGCCTCCTGTTTAATGGCGTCACCAGGCAGTTGCAGTAAGGGTATGGCTCTAAACAAAGCAAACGTTCAGAGCACAGATTTGCCAAAAGCATCTTCTAGGCAAGTAAAGATGGATCAGACTGGCTGCCTGGTGCAAGACCACACGTTCTAAGATATTGAAGGAACAAATTACATGGACGACTTGCTGGGAAGTATGCGCTGTGATTCAAGGGCTTCGATAACTAGTTACAGAGCAGAGTTATGAGGAGCAGTTCGGTGCTTAATAAATAATGCCCTTCTTCGGCGGCAATTGGCGTGGCGGAATTGCCAAGACCAAAAGCGGCTAGGAAAACAGCTAGACCCGAAGCAGCCACAGCAAGCCGTTTTGCGGCCTTTCGACCCAGCTGATCGCCAACATCAACTACCGAAGGCAACGATCCTCCCTCGAAAGTCCTTCTCCGCCAGACATCTGGCCAGCCAGCTTGTCTCCAATTCCAATTTTATTCTGCCTTATGGCGTCCGGTTAGAGGTCGTCTAAGGAATGTCCGCTCTTTGATTCAGCGATCCTTGACGCCCATTGCCGCTCTCTCCGCTACGTCTGTCGGAACCGACCGCTATGCTTAAACCTGTTTTTGTCGCAATTTTTTGCACAGCTTGACGCCAATCCCCTCTTCCTCTCCCCCGCCACCCACGATGGACGACAGCCATATACTTGGAGAGGACTTACCTCTTCCTCCAGGGCGCCTGTTTGAGCGCTTAGCGCAATTACCCGGCTACATCTGGCACCAGAATCTCAGACCTTTCCGTTCCTCCTATGATCATTGGCACGTTACAGGCGTGAGACTTGCTTCGGATGCAGATGTGCCCATTTTAACTCCTTCCTCCTCCTCACGATCGAAAGAGTCCACATTGACCTCTGCGCACACCTCCCCCCGGATCGAAAACAGATCATCCTACTCTCGAAATAATTGGCGAAGTAGCCTCAGCGAATCAAGTAGCGATATTTCCTCCTCTCGCAACGATCCGGATGCCTCATGGGTACCCGTAGTGGCTCGCGTTTCGAGCCATGTTATAAGGCTGGAACGCGAGTTCCATATACTGAAATCAATTATCCAGATATCAGATCCCGAATGCAAACACACGGTCCGCCCCATCGACATTATTCGCCTCGCCCCTCAGCCTGGCGATCCCGGTCCCTTGTTGGTTACAATCTACGAATCCCAGGGTCCAAATCAGTTAAAAGAATATGTAGGCTTCGGGCCTATCTTTTTCCAGACGTATGGGGGAGAGGTATTAGCGGAATGCTCATCCCTAGGGGCCCAAGTTCCCATCGCAACGTTTTTGGATTTTGCCATCGGTGCATGCGAATGTCTGGAATTATTGCATTATGGCCTGAAATGCATTCACGGTGAAATCAGACCCGATGCCTTCCATTATAATGCCGAGACAGGCGCAGTGAAACTTTCAAACACGGGAAATGGCGCCAGATCTTTCGATAATGCATTGAGTGAAGGTTGGTCGATCCTAACACGCGATTTCGGCGTGAAAAATAAGTTGCAATTCGTCGCACCGGAACAAACTGGAAGATTACCAACAGAGCCTGATAGTCGCACTGATATATACGCTCTCGGTGTGTTGTTTTGGTCGATGCTTGCGGGACAACCTGCATTCGATGCGAGTGATCCAGTTGAAGTTGTGCAAAATGTGCTCGGCAAAACATTACCTACGGTTTCATCCAAGAGGATGGATGTACCAGATGCAGCCGCCGCCGTTATCCAAAAAATGACCCACAAACAGATCGATGATAGGTACCACACGATTTCTTCAGTGAAGTGGGATCTTCAGCAAATTTCAAGACTACTAGGCGATGGCGATCATGAGGGATTAAAAAATTTCGTCATAGCCCAGCGCGATGTTTCATCGTTTTTTGCCCTGCCAGCGACTATGTTTGGACGGAGAGAAGAACATGAAAAGATCCTTCAAATTATTGACAAAGTCCAAAAACGCCAACAAGCTACTCTTGCCCAAGCTGCGGCGAAGTCAATTCACTCCCTCTATGCTCTCAGTTCAGGCTCTTCCGTGTCTGATAGTCGCGTGGATGGCATTGAAATTGGGGATGGCTCCAGTGACTCTGGATCATACGGTATTGCTGCCATACGGAGCAGTTCTACATCTAGCCCTTACGCTCTTGCGCATTCGTCAACACAAGACTCAAACTGCAGCGCAGATTCTACCTCAAGTCAAAAAACACTACTTCTCTCCAATAGAGTTAAGAGTCCCACCGATTCAAAGAATTCTGGCGATATCAATGATCGCGAAAGTCATTTTGCTTCCAGCCTCAGTAACCAGGGCCAATTCGATTCCCTTGCACCTCTAGGACGGCGAAAGGTGCAGGCAAAGTACCGGCAAAGCGGTCGTTGTGAGGTGATCAGCATATCCGGTGTTGCTGGCCTCGGAAAATCAGATCTTTTAAACCGACTACAACCAGAAATCCGGAAACATGGCTATATCGCAGTTGCTCGCCTCGATCGTTCACGCCGAGTTCCTTTTGAGCCATTTTTTAAAATTCTTGCTAGTCTTCTTCGTCAGATTTTTTCTGAGCGTGACGTTTCTTCTGATTACCACAGCTCAATACGCATGACCCTGCAGCCAATATGGCTATCCCTCCACAAAATCCTTGGCCTACCAGAAAATTTAATCTACCCTGTTGGGACGATGAGCGAGTCCGTGAACTTCTTAAAGACTACTGCTACACCCCTTCAAGTGCTTAAAGAGGAGACAGAGGAATCATTTCATTCCCAAGATGCCCACTTTACCAGTTTAAGCGCGGGTCAGACATTGAATGATTTTTGCCATGGGCCATCATCCAACGCTATGCTCAGATTCGCGGATACTCTTATTGAAACATTGAGGATTATGTCGTTTCAGAAGCTGATATGCGTCGCTTTGGATGATATCCAGTACGCCGATGTGGAAAGCGTGCAGATTTTGCTTGAGATTGTCAGAACTAAAATCCGATGCGTTCTTATGATTACGAGCCGACCAGAAGAAATAAATTCCCCTGAATTAAAAGCGCTTTTCCAGACCGACATGGCCAATGTAACCAGGATCGAACTAAGCCCATTAAATGATGACGAGGTTCACGAATATGTTGCTGCCACGATGCACCAACCTCCTAACAAGAGGCTGCTTCCCCTTTCCGCAGTCGTCCAAGAGAAAAGTCGAGGAATTCCGTTCTACATGCGAATGATCCTTGAGACCTGCTATCAAAAGAACTGCATTTGGTATTCTTGGAGAGACTCAGCCTGGCAGTTCGACTTGGACAGGATATTTACGGAATTTGTGTCCCCTAGCTATGGTGAAGGCCTCGGCACAGATTTCATCGCCAAACGGCTCCAAGAGCTTCCCTCGGAATCCCGCTCGATTCTTTTATGGGCTGCATTGTTAGGCAGTCCATTTTCCTTCACATTAGTTCAGAGGTTGCTCTCCGGAGAGTTTCTGTTCGCCTTGGGTGGAGAACCCCTAGAGGACATTACATGTCCGCACCGGGCACCCTTGACGCAAAGTAAAAGAGGGATGGTTTCAGGACTTCAGCACTTACTCCAAATGTATATTATAATCCCCGGTGAAACTGATGATGAATTTAGGTAAGCTTCTCAAAACGATTCCTTTTCTTTCTTTTCCCCATATATTCGCTTGTCATCTATATGGAAGAGCACTAATTTATTCGTTCGAAATTTAGATTCGCCCACGATCGCTACGCCCAAGCCGTAGCAAGTATGAGAGAGTGCCATAACCAAGAGAAGATGCATTTCATTGCTGCAAAAACCGTGATGAAATACGGTCCAAATGACAGCACTTCATTGTATTCGCGAGCTCAGCATATTCAGTGTGCAGCAAGATTAATCAAGCAGCGAGTTCACGAACGGATCAAATATAGAGATGCGCTGTACTACGCCGCTCGGAGCGCTTTCCAGTCTGGGGCGAAGGCTACCGCGCTAAGCTATTTTCAAGCTTGTCTCTACCTGCTACAGGATGACCCATGGGATAGCAATGCTGAAGATGTTTACTATGAGGAAACACGAGAGCTCCATATTCAAACCGCTGAAATGCTAATATCTAGTGGGAAAAACAAGGAAGCCATGGAACTTCTTGAGGTGGTGTTCAAGCGCGCTCATTCTCCTGTGTGCAAGGCGAGGGCATGGAAATTAAAAAGCAAGATACTCGCCCAAAGAAGCGATATTTCCGGTGCCCTTGAGGCCTTGTTCACAAGCATGGATGAGCTGGGTGTGAAAATCAACAGGCCAAGCTCCTGGGAAGCTTGCGATGAGGCATACGAGAAACTCAGCGCATATCTTAAAGCTGCCGATCTCGATGTCGTTTTCTCTGTACCGCTTAGCCAGGACAAGACGTTGATCACTCTTGGGTCGTTGATGGCCGAAGCTATGTCAGTGTGTGTTTGGGGGGAGCCGTTGACGTTTCTCCAGCTGGGGATTGAAATGATGAATATCTATCTGTTTCGTGGAGCCTTTTCGCAGGTCGCCGTTCTGTGCACATACATATCCATGGTTGCGATGAGCCGATACAAAGATCTTGAACTTGGCGTCAAGCTCAGCGACTCTGCTGTCGATCTCCTAGACCGCTTCGATGAACCCTGGATTCTAGCGCGGGCTGTTACTATCCACAATTATTCCGTTAATCATATGAGGGTACCCATGTCAACGACATTACCACGCCTCGAAAGTGCTATGGAAGCTGCGTTTTTGCTGGGTGAACGATACTTGATTCTTATGAATATATCCGCTATGGTATTCACTCGATTTTGTCTAGGCCATGACCTGTCTGAGTTGGAGGCGCTGTGTAATTATGCGCCAGAGGAAATTGGCGATTGGGAAAACGACCCACGTGGCGGGGTCTATATCGTTTCTGTCCGGTAAGGTTCCTCAATTTTTAACTACCACTTCGTTTTCTCTCGTGGGTGAATATGTTGCTGAGTTCTGAGTTTTTAGGCAAGCCGCACGTGCTCTCCAGGGGAAAACATTTATCAACTCTGCGGATCATATACTATCCGACGATCAGCACGACAGCGAGAAGTATATTGCTCTTCCTGGCTTGAACTCCCACGCCCTAAACATGTATCGTGCAATGAGTTTGGTGCCACTGTACTCCTACGGCTACTACGAGAAAGCAGTGGAGATTGGCACTGAAATGACGAAATCGTTGGCCGGCCTCTGGTCCCTCCGTGCTGCTACCCAAACGTATTTTTTCCTTTCATTATCCATGCTTAACCGCCACCTTGATGATCCATCCCGACCTGGCGTCGAAGAGACCATCAACCAGGTTAAAGAGTACAAGAAGGAGGTCGACTTTAAGACCCGCGCTTGCGATGTGAATTACGGTGCGTGGTCATTAATACTCGAAGGCCTGATCTGCGAGGCGTCCGGCAAGTTCCAGAGTGCTCTCATTGCCTTTGAGGCAGCGCTCGATCATGCCCAGCTACACAATTGGCCTCTGGAAGAAGCCCTTGCTCTCGAGCTTCAAGTCGACTTCCTCGTTCGACGTGGCGTTAAACGGGCTGCTAAATTTATGCTGCAGGAAGCAATCGCAGCGTGGAACCGTATCAGCGCGACGGGTAAAGCTAAGCACCTCTCGGAAAAACATGAGTGGCTTTTAAGAGTTGGATCTCCTACATCAAGATCTAATGATGTTGGTTGTCAAACTATTGATTCGATACTCAATGTTCCGAGGACTACGGAGCCAGCGTCTAACTCCATCCATCCACAGCTTGAAGCTGAACGTAAACGAGAATGGTTGGAGGAGAATGAGGAACATGCTGACCAGAGGTCTTTGGATATATCCGGGCTTGGTCTAGGTAAGGCTTCGCAATGCAACCCTTATTCTCGAGATATAGTGAAATTTCTAACCTCGTACATTTTTTATTTTCAGATATTATCGACTTGTCCAGCATACTTGAATTTAGCCAAGTCATGTCCTCTGAATTACACATAGAGAAATTGCTTACCAAAATGGTTGGCATAATACTCGAGTCCTGTAGCGGTTCCGAATTAGCGGTTGTGGTCACGGACTTTGAACCTTATGGTTGGCTAGTTGCTGCGGCTAGCGATCACGAAAATGGAGATGTAGCTTTCGCCGATGGCCTCGCGTTTTCTGAAGTAGAGGACAAAATGGCACAGCAAATCACGCATTATACTCTACGGACGAGGGAACCGGTCCTTGTCCATAATGTCCTCGATGACGAGCGTTTCTCCAACGTCAGTGAAGCCTACGCCGCCCGAAACCCGCATGGGAAATCCGTTATTGCCCTACCTATTATCCAAGCCAACAATCTTCTTGGGGTGATTCACGTTGAGGGTAAACCCAATTCGTTTACTCAACGTAATTTAGTTGTGCTCCGCCTTGTGTGTAATCAAGTTGGAATCTCACTGGCAAACGCTTTCCTTTATCGGAACGCGAGTAAAGTCAGGTAAGTTACTGTAACACAAACACATGCCATTCTTGCCATTCTTGCCAGTTTGCTGACTTTTCCTTCTAGTGCTGCCAACGCCGCCATGGTTGAAGCGCAGAAACGTGCCTTGGCACTCGCCAGGGAAGCGGAACGAAAGTCCAAGGTTGCAGAAGCGGAAGCTAAACATAACGTTAAGCTCAAAGAAGACGCTGCAAAGGCCAAGTCAATATTTCTGGCTAACGTTTCTCATGATTTGCGCACGCCAATGAACGGGGTCATTGGGTTGTCAGAATTACTTAAAAAGACCAGCTTGGACCGAGAGCAGGATGGCTACGTCGAATCGATCCGTGTCTGCGCGGATACGCTATTAACGCTGATTAACGACATTCTCGACTTCTCCAAGCTCGAAGCTGGCAAGATGAAAGTTTCGACAGTTCCCCTCAACCTCAGAGAAACCATAGCGGAGGTTGTTCGCGCCCTTCGTTATACTCACCGTGATTGCGGACTGAAGACTATCGAGGACCTAGATGGTGTTGATCCCAATTTATTGGTTATGGGAGATCCTGTTCGTCTCCACCAGATATTTATGAACCTGCTAAGCAACAGCTACAAGTTCACGCCAAAAGGCTCCGTTACGGTCAAAGCCAAGGTAACTGATGAGGATGAAGGCCGTATTCGTATCACGTGTAAAGTTGCCGATACTGGGATTGGAATTTCCGGAGAACAGTTGGTTCGACTTTTCAGGCCATTCTCCCAGGCTGACAGTTCGACAGCGAGATCATACGGAGGGAGTGGGCTTGGGTTGAGCATCTGCAAAGCAATAATAGAGGATGTGCTTGGTGGCAAAATTTGGCTGCAATCAGAGGAAGGGGTGGGCACGACCGTTACCTTTACACTGGTATTTAACAAAGCCCCGAAGAACGCTGTGGTCAAAATGCCATGGTCTCAAGATGGCACTCAAGAGAAGAAACAGATTCCCATGAGACAGGCAGTCAGGGATCTCAAGTCTCTCGCCCGAAACAGGATCCGCGTCTGCATTGCCGAAGATAACCCAATCAACCAAAAAATTGCAGTGACTTTCGTTAGGAATTTGGGACTAGAGTGCGAGGCGTTTAGCGATGGTCAGCAGGCTGTGGAAGCTCTTAGACGTGCATCTGCAGAAGGAAACCCTTTCCACCTTGTCCTAATGGACGTTCAAATGCCGGTTCTGGACGGATATAATGCTACGCGGAGGATTCGTGAGGATTTGGACCCGTGCGTCAACGATGTTCTCGTAATAGCCATGACCGCCAGTGCTATTGAAGGGGATCGCGAAAAATGCATCGACGCCGGCATGAACAATTACCTCGCTAAACCCGTCAGGTCTGATGTACTGAAAAGGATGCTTGATCAGTATCTAGCACCTTCGATGGAGTCCGAGCTCCCGAGATGGGGATGTCGACGGCGCCGGGCACGCTCGACTGCGGCTGCTTCTGGTCCTTCTCCCGTTGAAGAGGAACCGCAAACCAACATCGTTCCTGAATTTGAATCCAAAACCTCCATTAAGGGAAAGCCTGGGGATCTATATGCGTTTATGCCGAACGGCTCGAAACCGCCCGACAGCCCTCCCGCGGGTGCCTCCTTCAGCGCCGCACAGACTACTTCTCCTGATGCTGCTGCTGCTGCCGCTGCTGATACCATATCAAGCACTCACACCAATACGAGTGGGAATGGAGAGAGCTCCGCACTTGTGGAGCCGTCTAAATAACGATCGCTTCTGACGGCAAACATTCAACTGGCGCTGTGCTAGACATGTCTCCCCCCGCTCCGATCGGTTTATACCTATTTTTTCTTTTTTCTTTTATCTTCTTTTTCTTCTTCGTGTCTAAAAAGAACTCAGGGATGGGTTCTAGTAAATATTTAGAATTTCTGCATTTCCCCCAGTTTCTGCCCGTTTAGCTTCTTCACTTATGGATGGATGGATGGGTGGATGTTCTTGCCCTTTATAATTATCTCCCTTCTTTTTGTTGGAGCCTTGGTTTCTGTTTAATTTTGTTTCATTTGTACACATTTTGTCACTTTTTCTTTTACGACAAGCAACGTCCGATGATAACGATATGATAAAACCAACTGCATGGCAAAGGGGGCTTACCACCGCATATATGGAATGGGAATGAAGGAAATATACCAAAATACTGGCATTTTATGTCTTTTCTTTCCTTTTCTTTTCTTTTTCTTTTCTTTTCTTTTTTTTCTTCTTCCTTATTTTCAATTCTTTGTCCTTTTTGCACGTATGTATATATCTCGAGTGACATTATCTTTTTTCAATTTCCCCCGTTTTCTCCCTTTCAACCCCCGATTTATTTTACTCCTCTTGACTCTTCTCCACGGCACATATAATGTTTCTATAGTGTTACCATAAAAATGGGGCAATGCTGGTTCACTGTGTTATCTAGGTTCTGTTTTTTTATTATTTATTTATTATTATTATTATTATTGTATAGTCCCCTAAAATGGTGACCAGTGATAGAATTTGGTGAATGGAAATCTCCTTATATGAGGACCGAAAAGTTTTGATTTCCACACTTACAACTGTATACTAAGTTCTAGAGATGTGCATTTCCCCTTATTTACAGGTTTAATGAATAAAATAAGGTGAAGCACTCGTTCTTCACACAGCCCTCCTGCCAAACACCCTGAACCTCTTGACCCCTCCATCTGGCACCATTGTCAACATAACATGGCTAAACGCCTTCCCTCCAACTTCACTACCCAACAATCCCCCTTCAAACACATGTTCCAAATCCGCCTTGCACGGCTGATCTCCCCGTACAACCTCCACCCACCCTTCATCATCAAACTTTGGATCCTGTCCCTCCTTAACATCCTTCTTCAGGAACCCATGCACCCTAACCGCCCTTGGGAAGTTTCCTCGGAAGTCCTTCGTATCAACCACGACCTTCTCTATCGTCCCTACCAACCCGAGCTTAACAACCGCCCAGTCTACATGGCCCGGTGTCCGCGAACGAGCAGTTTCCCAACCGTCACCCATATGCTCCCCACGGCCGGGAAGTAAGGTATTCGATGCGGGGGTGAAATGTTGGTTACTAGCAGAAACAACAAGACCTCCCATCAGCGCTGAGGAGAGCTCCTCCAACTCCGTCGTCGCAGATCCTTCCGCCGACGCTACTATCGCCTTGGGCGCCGGTGCAGGGCCCGGCACGGCATGCCCATATAACCTAACCCGCGCAAACCCCCCATCAGGATACATCCTGACGCGTACATGAGTAATTGGGTCCGAGGGGCGAGATAGCAACCAGCCTTGGCGCCGCGAAGGCCCGCACGGCTGCTTGGGCAGAATAGTCGTCCAGCCGTTAAAAGTAGGCTTGACGACCTCGGCGTCCCCGGCCTCCGCACCGTCCCGTTTATCAATGTGAGTACCCTCGACAAGAACACTCTCGCCGTAATTGCCGTAGAAATGCGCCGTGTCGATTTCCACGCCAACGACGACACCGCTGCCGACGCCTAACTTGATTACGGCCCAGTCAAATTCTTCCGGGTTGTGGCGGCGCGTTTCCCAGCCGTCGTACCAGGCTCCTGTGTGTACGAAGACGCCAGGGCGGTGGATTGGCGGGGTTGGGGTGAGGAGGTTTGAGGCTGCGGCGAAGTACTCGTCGGAACAGGCGAGGATGGTGGCGTTTAGAGAGGAGGAGACGAGGTTTGTAGTTGTTGAGGAGAAGGTCTTGTCGATATCGGCAGCGGTGGTGAGGGGGGTTATAGTTTTATCTTTGTGGGTTTCCATCTTGATTGGTATTTTTTATCTACTTTTGTTTCTGATTCTCCTTTGTCTTCGCTTTTTTCTTTTTTTATTCTTCTTCTTTTTGATTTTTGGTTGAAATATTAGATAAGGATTGATTAAAGAAAATTGAGAGAATGAGGGCGGGCAGATGCGGGGCAAGTGGATAACTACTCCGAAGCCTTTAAATATTATTTATTATATAGTTTATACAATTGCCCACGTTGATTGATAGATAGATATATATGGACGCGAGGAAGCTGGCCTGCTTTATACATCTCAAACAGGGAAAACAAGGGGCGGCACCGAGCGGGTAGTACGAGGGAATTGGATGCAAAGAGTATATTTCCTCATATCTTGTTACGTACAAATTCAATTGGAATGCGGAGGTCGCCGACGAATTGTGGTCGAAGTTGGGCTTGAAGCCATTTTCCTGTTGCAACCATTCCCCCACGCGAACAACCACTGCAACTCGCACATGGAGTCCAAAAGAGAATTGCCCGAAAAAGGGTCTATTCGCGGATGGCAGAGCAGTCTTCAGACACTTTAGTTACACTAAAATTCGGTTTTAATATTACCGCTTGGGGAGAGTCTTGATCATTTACACTAACTACTACTCTACTAATATAATAAATATTAAAGTCTTCAGCATCACTTGGCGCAAGCCGGTAACTAATTACACTATATATATGAATCATATTGATGTCATCGCCCACTATCGGGTCACTAGCGGTCTCTAGCGGGTCACTTGCAACTTAGCTAGACCAGTGGCCCCAGAGTTGATGCTTAACTAGTTGCAGGTTCAGGCAAGTCGAACAAACCTTGGAAGAGGCCTTCGTCGTTCACAGTCTCGGCCAATCGTGAGCTGGCCAATTGCGCAAGTGCTGATTCTCGCTTCAAGGTCAACTCAATATTGAGTCTTGCCCGTCTCACCTCACACCCCGCCATTGTTCATAACCACCTTCAACAACAATAGTTGATAAAAAGCATCTGTCGTCTGGAAGAGAATCAGAGAGTCTTCCGTAACCGTCTCATTCAGATACGGTTTTTTCTTGTGTTTGCTGTTTAGCAGCATCATAAACATTATATCGTGCATTACATACATATCATGGCCTCTGCAACCGGGATCCCAGAACAGAGCCCCGTAGCTATCGGCGGGAACGATGAGCAGGAGCCTCTGCTGGGCAGGCCAGGAGATGTCAGCCAGAAGGAAGGCCAGGCGCTGGTGACAAATTTGGTCACAGGTAAGTGATCCAGCAGCGAAACATAGCTATTGACGTTAATCATATAGAGTACGCTGATAATGTCCACACAGGCTCGGCAACTATTGCCCAAGCGGGTATTTGGATAGTGAGTACATGATGATACGGGATATATCACGACAACGTGCCAGAAAACAACCCGTACTCTAACTAGACATTGCGATATCCAGCTTGCCGCTCTCGTCTGGAATGGCGTCTTCTCCCACGAGCTCATATTCTTCTCCCCGCACCCGGTAAGCAAGCACTCGCCATCTTACCTCCTTCGAGCCATCTATATATCCTACGACTTACAGCCTCTAAAATAATAAAAATAATTAACTCCAGCTCCTCAACTCCGCCGCCATTCTCCTAACAACCCAAGCCATCCTCATCCTCCAGCCAACCCACACCCCCGCTCAAAAGCGCAGCGGCACCCTCGCCCATTTCGGCCTCCTCGCCGTCGCCAACCTCTGCTTCGTCTCCGCCCTCATCATCATCGAAATAAACAAAGCCCCGCACCCCGAGTACCGCCTCCACTCCGTGCACGGCATCATGGGCCTCATCACCTACATCTTCATCTTCCTGCAGGCGCTTGTGGGCGCCGCACAGTATTTCTACCCCACGTTTGCCTTCGGGAGTGTGGACAATGGCAAAAAGATCTACAAGTATCACCGGGTCAGTGGATACGTGCTGCTTGTGTTGGAGCTGGCGACGGTGGCGGCAGCGACCCAGACAGATTATAATATGACTACGTTACACATTAAGCTGTGGGCGGTGTTGGTGGCCGCCGTTCTGGTGCTGGCAGGGGTTGGGGCCAGGATTAAGAAGCAGAAGATGAAGATTTTTTAGCTGGAGAGGTAATGTGGTTAGGGTTAGGGTTAACTAGGGGAGTGGAGTGGAGTGGAGTGGAGTGGAGTGGGGTGTATGCTAGTATATGAATATGGGAGAGCCGCCGGTGAGACATACATAACCTATTCTTCTTTTAGTGTTTTTCTTTTGGCATCGACCTCTATTTGGTTGAATTGGGTTTCTCAAGTTGGAATATATAATACTACGGATCCGTGGTGAGTTTGGGGAAATGATTGCTCACCTTTTCCATTTCTTGATATATCTGTTCCGGATCTCTCCTTCTGCTACAGTTCGGTGTCGCCGGAGCGTTTCTTGGGATATGCACTAGGGACTTTTCTGATTCATTCTCACTCTGCTGAGCATTTAGCTGAATGTGATCCGGGGAATCGACTGATATAACTTATTTATCTTTTTATATAATATTTCGGATCTCAGTTTCCTGGAGTTTTGTGAGGTCGTCGATTAGTTTGCTTAGTTAAAATAATGATTGAGGAAATAACAGCTTTGTTTATACATTTTCAATCTTCTGAAAATAAGTTGCATTGACTTGATAATGCTGTTTTCTATGAACTAAAAGCTCTCATTTAATGTCTTTCATGAAAATCTTCTCAAAATTTATAATGAAAATAAATAAAATACAGAGCTTGTCTGCTTCAGTGCTCTGACTGTATATACCCATCTGCTCCTTCAACGCACGATAATACGCAGAGCGCCCTCTACCCGATCACATTTCCTGTGTCTCGCACCTCCTCAGCAGCTCATTATCTCCAAGTTTCATCTCTGTATCTCTAGCAGAGAGCTGGTGGGTGGTCGGGAATCGTTGAAGCGTGATCGCAGAGCTAGCCGCCATCATCATTCAGAAATGAAAGACAAACAAGCTTTAGCTTTCAGCGATCAGCTAAGAAAGGGACGGAATCTTTGGAAGCGCTCACTTCCCTTTGTTTTGAAGTAGAGCTGAATGAAGCCTGGAAGCTTGCCCTTGTGCCAAATCTCAAGTTGAGCTGGAGCGGGGTGCGCGGGGTTCTCAGGCTCATGCACTCATTCTGTTTGTGGAGGAGATTGATTACATCCATGAAAAGTCGAACTAGGAAAAGTAGCCGTAGTAGTAACTGTAGGATAGTTGAAGGTTGTGTATTGATAGATCTATCTACAAGAACATAATATAGTGGTGGGTCACGTGATCTAGTGGGATCGCTAACCGCAACGGCCGTAAGGGCCAACACCCCCTCTCGAGATAACAAGAATCACATACAAAAACACCCAAACCACCAAGATAGTCTGTCAAAATCAAATACAAATGTAAAATTAAACATTTTCAACTTTTATATCTGTAAGACCTAGTAAAATCATGAATTGTATAAATATCACAGTGTTTAGAGATTTAGTAAGTTCATCTGTTATTATCTGAGTAATGAAAATATATTCTAAATTAATAATTCTCTGATTCAACTGTTAATATGAAAAATGAAAATATATATCAATGTGTTTACTTCAGACTGTAATGACTGTCATCTTTGTAAGATCTATGATATTCTTATTATCAGTGAGAATCTGTATCAGAGATATAGTAATAAAGTCAAGCTTAATCATGAGATTCTGAATTTATATTATCTTATAAACTGTCTTACTAAAAGCTATATATTCAGTCTCATTAAAACTTAGAGATATATAAGATTACTTTACTAAATGTTATAAAATCAGACTGTCTGTAAGCTTAAAAATATAGCTGAATATTAATTTTCTATTATTATTTAAGAGATCAGCTCAATCAGAATCTGAGTAGCTGAAGAGTAGATAGAAATCATCAGAGAAATCAGAGAAAATGAAAAGATTAATAGAAATAAATCTCTTATACAGACTGTATCTGTAGAAAATACTCAGATTTATAATCTCTTTTAAATAATGTATAATATATAATAGAGTCTTTCAATATTGAGATGTTAAATCAGTATTTTATTAAGTGAGTAGTAAGATAGTATAAGTAATATTAGAATGTGTTTTAACTGTAAGATATTACAAGTAACTTATATTATATTAATATCACTGAGTTGTGAAATCAGTCTCTTTCTCAAATATAGAGAAATTATTAATACAGAATTTATTCTTCATTGATATTCTGATAATAGCTATATTATCAAGATAGAAATCTTTAATAAGATATTTAATATATTAATAATATATTAAATCAATTCTCTTGTCTGAATAATTAATCTTTATACTGTAAGAAATTCTGCTTCTTATAAATTCTTTACTTCTATTTCTATCTCTCATGTAATTAATAGAGCTAGCGGCCCTTGACTACACACAACTATATAGACTGAAGTTTGTGAATACTATTTATAACTCAGCTTAAATACTATTATACATTTAATCTCTATATTTTATCTTTCTACTGTGAATACTTCTAATAGTTAACAGTATATATTATATCAAGCTGTAAATATCTAAATAATCATCTGTGAGCACTTATTCTTACATTTCAAGCTCAGTCAGTCAGTAACTGCTTATTATGACTGAAAGAACTAGAAACTTATATACTTTAATTTCTATGAACTCTACTACAGACACTCAGAAGCAGTTATCTGAATTATGAATAATTTCTATAAAAGAAGTTTCAGAGAACTTATTAATTACTTACAGAATATCATTCTCTATATCTGTGATAGAAGAACTTTTTAAACTTATGAATAAATCAATCTCAGTGAAGAACATTCTTAAGTATCTTCTACAGAATTAAGCTATTTTTCTATAAGAAATGCTTACTATCTGCAAACACTCTCAAACTGAGTCTTTAGACATAATCTTCAGAGATACCTGCAAACTGAAAAGAAACTTTTTTAAGTTATAATTACTTAAAGCTACTTATTAAATCACAATCTATAAAAGCTTTTACAAGTTTGTATTTGAAATTGACTTATAAGTCTGACTGTGTGATATAAAAGATAAAGAAGCTATTATCTATATAATAATAGATCTCTATTACACTGAAGTCAAGAACTGATTAAATTATCTAGAGAATAATTATAAGAGATCTTACTAATCTGTTCTCAAGACCTATCTAGAGAGTAAGTTGAGAGACTTTATAAACTGAATAGAGAATATCTGAGCTGTGATCACTAATATTAGAAAAAGAGATGAGAAATCTGATAAAGACTACTCACAGTATTTTATAAAATTGTAATATGAATTAAGATCTGTAAAAACAGAGCTCTGAAATAAAACCTGAATAATGATATTTATAAAGAGACTGAATAAAGATATGTAGAACAAGCTTATTGAATAAAACTCTAAGTTTTTAACTCTGAAGAAATTGATAACTCTTATTCACTACTTACAGATCACTGTGAGAGTCACAGATCTGTGAAAAGTGAATTATTAACTAACTCTGTAAGAGTCAGAATAACAGAGAACAGATTTACTAGAAAAAGATAATAAGATATAAAGAGATTTATATCTGACTGCTGAGCAGAGAGAGAGAGCTTCATAAGCTCTTATAAATAGAATATATAATAGAGAGATTAAGAAAAAGAAACTCTGCTTTATCT